AGATATCCCAAGCATCTAACATCTTCATGCCAACTTGTACGACTTTTATTTTCTTAAGTTTCTGTCTACATTCTTGTTCTGAAACTATTGTTGCTCTTGGTTTGTTAAAGACTACATCCCATTCTTTCATAACATAACATTCTGGGGCAGAGTCAACATAAATGACTAAACGTTTCAAATTCTCGACTGCTTTGTTATAGTCTCTAAATGGACACATATTTCTGAATGTTTGGAAGTCATAAAAATCTGAAACATCTATTCTGTACATTTTTATAAAAATAAAAAAAATATTTTTTTTATTCTTGAGCTATTTGTTGTTCTTGAGCTATTTGTTGCATTTGTTGTTCTTGAGCTATTTGTTGTTGAAGTTGTTCTTGTAATACAATACTTTCACCAGTTGCATCTTCCAATTCGAAACTTTCTGCCGTCATTGACAAATACATAGGACATAAAAGTTTTACAGGAACAAAGTTTGCGTCAACTAAGGTTAAGTTTATGTTTGCTAAAGTGTTTGAGTTTACTAAAGCTGAAAACTCTGCATTCGAATGAACAATAGGCAAACCAGCAGAGAATGTGTTATTTATACGCATAAGTATCTTTTGGTCATAGTAGTTTCTGTCGACATTCGAATAACACTTTGAACCTAAGTTTGAAACAATATATAAAATAGGTGTACTTAAAGTCAATGGAATAGACATTCCTTGTATGACACCTTTTCCTGTTATAGGAAACTGTTGGTAGTAAAAACCAGATATAAGTTTTGTATTATAGCTCATATTGTTTATAGTAAACTCAGTCGGACATCCAAACATAATGAAACCTGCTCTAGTTGCAGCACATGTTACACTCGTCCTTAAAGTATTAAATAAGTCAACAAAACCTGTTGGTGTATATCTGAGTAAGTATCTTCAAAGGAGTATTTTTTACCATTCACAACAATAAAATCTTCTGGTGTCAAAAGAGCAAAACAAGCTTTAGTCGTCATTGTGTTTAAGGTTAGTTTACAATATCGTCCTTGAGGACTTTGTAAGTTTGTTGTTATAGAATTATATGACTCAGGGTTTTTTAGTCGTAATAGTATAAACCATTGTGTCTTCTGCCATTTACTTAGCAAATAAATTTTAATGAAATGTTGTGGTCGTCAAATATTTTTATAACGTCTGGGAAACTATATTTTAAGTTCAACGTTTCACCTCCTTTCATAACGTATATCTTGTCAATGACATTATATGAAACACCACAGCAACTAACGTCGGGTTCTATTTCTTTGATGTTTATATCGTCTGCCTCTGTCAAAAGTTTCAATAGTTCTTTCAAAACTTCATGAGGTGCAATGACATATGAGTTCACTTTTAAGGGTTGTGTTCGACCAAGTTTAACATTATACTAAAGCTTGACAAATCTTCTCCTGAGTTTGAAGTTTGTCTTTAAGTTGTTGGTAGTCGTTTCGAATATCTGCAACAGAACTTAAGTCTCTGCTAACTTCAGGATATGTTGGTTGTTCTTTTACAGGAACTATTGTTATACCATCTTGGTCTTCGTATGGTTTCCCCACTTCAACATCTCTGTCTTTGACATTGACACAACACTTTGACTGTTTGTTTGAGTTGGTGAATTTAACTTCACATCTGCCACCGCCATTAAACCTTTTGAAACACTCACGCTTCTATTTTTCGGAAATGACATTTTACTTAGAATAAAAAGATGGACGTATTCGAGTATCTCTTCGAATTGAAGCAGAACAAAGTTTACACACACAAACAATACAAATACATTGACAGAATAGTTCTTTACACAAACAATGGAAAATGTTATAGAATAGCAATATTTGCTGAACCAAAATATTTTCATAAAGCAAAGAAAGTTGGTATAACTGAAATGGTGAAAGTTCTTGAAGCAGACAAAAATATAACTTCAAAACTTACAGATATTACTAAAGGAAAGTTTATAATACAATATTATGTCAAAACTGGCGTACTGTCAATATTTGACGGAGAGAAGTCAGTTCAAGAACAACTTACTGACCTGCTGCCAAAATCTGCTCGATGGAAGCTGTCGTTATGCCAATCTGAGGAGCCCCAGCAGGTTTCATCGAACGAATCTTCAAAAGAGCATCTTCCGTGAAAAGTGCTATTGGTTTTGTAAACTTCTTTGCTTTCAGTTCATCTGGACCGTCTCTGTCACCAGTATATTGTATTTGTACAGTACCAACAGTTGAAATACCACCCATAAAGTCTTCTGAGTCAGCAAATTGAATGCCAAGCCAAAAGTTTGAACGGTCTCCATTTGTATATTGAGTTTTTTGACCTCCTGTATGAGTCCATACTTTCACATATGGCATAATAGAACTTTGCATTTCAGGGTTTATGGTTGTTGTGAAGTTGTTGTTAAAGTTCATAGCATCTAATGTCAAGTTGTATGACCTCATATCCTCAACTGTAGAATATTCTTCTCTTGGATAATATTTGCCATCTATGTTTATATGATATTTAATACCGGGGTTGTAGAAACAAGAATAGTCATTTATAGTTCGTCTGAACAGTACAAACATAGTATCTGCATGTTTCATTGCAGTTGTTAAAGCAATATCTGTTCTTGCACCTGGGTCAGCACTTTGGTTTCCAACTTCACCTGCAAAGTCTTTGACAGATATTTGGTGTATAGGGAACATAAGTGGAACTGCAATATATTTGGCAGCTAAAGCATTTGAAATATCTGGGTCCAACATATAGACTGCAAGTCTGCTTTCTATTCTCTTGCATTCAAATTTTTCGCATGTAAACTTAACTGGGTCCCAAGCAGTTCCAGCAGCATTGAAATAATAGTTTACTTCAGTGTTGAGGTTTGAGAAACCAAAGTCTAAGTCAACTTTGTCTTTGCAAAAGTCGGCGAATGACGTTTTATTTGTTCCCACTACTTCTGTAAGAGTGAATGGGTCTTGTGTTGGTGCAATGACTAAGTTATTTTTGCTTGGAGTAAGTTCAATAGAAATTTTTCCTGCCCAGTTTGGCAAGTATCTTAAAAACCTGAAGATGAGGAAAGATGACAAAGGAACTCTAAGTTTCAGTTTTACTTTAGTGACAGCATTTCCATCTGAACCAGAAAGGTTAACATAAACTCCTGGAACGTTAGGGTCAAGTCTTCTTATTTTCTCAATAGTTGCATACTGGTCTGTTTGTTCTCTAGCTTGTGGTTGTACTGAGTTTCTCAAAGCGAACCATTCATAGTTTGCCCATGTTACTGTTTGAACTAAGTCAGAGTTAGAATATATCTTATATCCCATGAAAACTTCTGGAGCATATTGGTATCCGACATAGAAAATTCCATTGCAACCTTTCTTGTCAGACAACTTGGCAGAAGGTTTTATTTCAATGTCTTGTTCCACGTATAAGAATGAGTTGTCAATAGAAATAATATGAAACCTGTCGCAAGCAATATCTACTGTTGTTGAAGAACCTTCTCCAAACTCACCTACGTTTCCATAAGAAACAGCAGTTGTATATTCGTAAGTTCCAGGAACTATTTCTGACCTTCTAATGGCATTGTCGCATTCGTTATACCATTCGGAAACATTTCCGTTCATGGCATCCAAAACTGTTGGCGTTATATTCTGAGCGGCGTACATTTCATATGGGTAAAAATATAGAATAGTTGGATTTATGTGTCATAATAGAACCCACGTGGACCAAGCTTTACTTTCTTCCTGGCTGAGTTTTTAACTCTTCTTTTTCCTTCATTGCCACTACTTTCACTAGATGAAGTTACTTCTTCACTACTTTCACTTTGTTCTACTCTTCTCTTCTTCTTTGGTGTCGCTTTTGGTAACTTGCCCTCTGCTTCAAGTTGTTGCATCTTTGCCTCATGTTCACCTAGTATGTTGTAAATTTCCCATGTCCTTTTTGCCTTTGGGCTCTGGTCGCCCATCTCAGGTAACCTATATCCTAGAAAGATTTTGTCATAGTTTGTATTTGAGTCTTCGCTTATTGTTTGCATGACTCTTTCCTGAGTTTCCGGTTCAAGCTCTTCAAACAGAGCTTGTCCATATGGAATAAGCTCGTTTCCAAATATATGTTTTTGTAGCCATTCTGGTTTTCTTTCCATGTAACCAATAATATCTTTTGTGAATGGGAAAGCTTTTACCCAATGTTTCAGTCTTGCGTCATTTATTTCTGTAGTTGGTTTTATTTTGTCAAGGAACATGTTTTTCAATACTAACATTTCATTTGGTACTGTCCATTTGAGTTTTCTTAAATATTCATCCCTTCTCGGTTCATTGTCTGCAAAGTAAGTTTTTATGACATTTTGTAAACTTTCGTTTGCAAGGTCATGTACAATAGGTTCTCTTCCTTCTGTCTCCCTAACTTTCTTTCTAAACTCTTCACCAAATATACCATCTTTATGGTTCTGTGTAGTTCTTTGAGATAAATGTTCTAGAACGTCAGGTGTTATATTTCCATCAGCCATGTTCATTTCATACTGGTCCAAAATATCTGCATCTTTCATATCTTTCAATGGCATTAAAGCCGCGCTGAAAATACCAGCTAAATCTGGTTCACCATTCACTTCCATTGCGTCTACAACTTCTTGGAATTGTGGTTGTAAGTTTATGAACCACCTATCCGGATTTGCTTTATGACCCCATCTCATTGTAGTTCCATAGTCTGCAGAAACAAAAGTAGGTTTGTTTCCATATTGGTTAGGTTCTGAATGAACTTTAAACAATGTTTCATTTCTATATGTTTTGTTGAAATTTAACCTTTTATTTTCACCGAGTTCAGCCAAAGATTGAACGTTATATGGTCGTAAGTAAAAAGGGTTATTGTATTTGCGTACATTTTCTTTCAGTACTTCCATTCTATGCTGAATATTTTCATCTGGTGTTGGAGTCTTTTGTATGTCGGCAAACATTTTTCGATATTCTTCTACCATGTCAGCCGAATTTTTCTTAGACTCTTGGAAAGATTCCATATTCACCTCATACTCTTGTTGAGGGTCAAGATTTTTCGGCTGTTCCAAATCTTCATCTAGTTCTGTGAAGTTAGTTTCCAAAGGAGGGACTTGTTCGTTTCCTTCAGGCTCTTCTAGCTGTTGTTGCTGAACTATTTCTTCCATGTCTGGTTGTATCTGAACTTCTTCCTGTGGAGTTTCTTGTACCTCATCTGCTGGCATTTCATATATTCCGAGACCGTTTTTAACAAGTTCCCTATTTAAGTCATCCGCATTCATAAGCCTTTGTTCTTTCGTTCCGTCTCTATTTTTTACGCGTTTCATGAAGATAGTTGAATCATCATTTATCTCTGACACCAAATATCTCGGAGTAAATTCGTTCATGTCATTTTGATATGCTATTAAATCATATCCCTTAGCGAGCTTGTATTTTCCAGGTTTGAAATTATATCCCATTTGGTGCTGAACCATAAAGCTAAATAGGTTCGGGTCAGTATTTCCTTCCTTGAACTTTCGAATAGCTTCTTTATATCTGTCACTAAAGTCAATAGTATCTGGGTAACCATAGTCTTCTTTAAGCATTTTTAAGAATTCTTGGTTTCCTTGTTCTCTACTTCTTTTATGTCCTTGCTCTGTTTGTGGTTGTTGCTGTGCAGTGTTTTGAACTGTTGGTTGCTGTGCTGGTTGTTGCTGTGCAGTGTTTTGAACTGTTGGTTGTGGTGCAGTGTTTTGAACTGTTGGTTGTGGTGCAGTGTTTTGAACTGTTGGTTGTTGTGTTGGTTGTTGTGTTGGTTTTGGTGCATGCCTGTGTCTGTGTCCATGTGACGATGTAAATGTTTTAGGTAGTCCTGGTGCAGGTGCTTCTCTTGGAGGGTTTGGTGGTATATAAGTTCCACTAGCTAGTATATAAGTTCCACCAGCTGGTATATAAGTTCCACCAGCTGGCACATATGTTCCATCTGCAGCATAATGTCCTACCTGACTTTTCGTTTTTAAGAAAGCATTTACTAGGTCTGTTTTGGTCTGTTGTAACTCTTTTTCTTGACTTTCCACAACAGTTGCTCTAACGGCGTCATAGGCACTTTGAACTGCCTGTCTCGTTGCTGCATCTGTTATTTTCGTCATATTTTGTGCTACTTCTCTTAACTCTTTGTCGAAACCTTCAGACTTCAGTTTCTTTCCAGATGAGAAGTCGTTCACTTGTTTCACCTTACTATGAAGAGCTTCGAAGGCGTTCTTAAAGTCAGCATTTGTTAAAGCTTCATTTGAACTGTCTTCATCCGCTTGTATTTTTGTCCTTATTGACCCTATAAGTTGGGCTGCTTTAGCGTTGGCTTGGGCATCTAACCAGTCATTGTTAGCTTTTATATATTCTGCGCTTTTCATTGCCTTTTGCATGGCTGCGTCGTTATTTTTACTTTCTTGTGCTAAGTTTTCATACTGTACGGTTTGGTTTTGCAACTGTAAAAGTTTTTCTGCCTTTACATTTGCTTCAACTTCTTTTTTATACTCATCGCTATCCATATATGTCTTCAGGGCTTTTTGTTTTATCTCTTCATCTTTCAGTACTTTATATTGAGTAGTATGGTTTTTCAAATTTACAACATCTTGTTCCATTTTTGCTACTTCTGCTGCTTTTTCTGACACTTTTTTCGCATATTCCTCTGTACTTAGTTCTTTCAGTTGTTCTTCTTTCTTCTTTTTCTCTACGTTTAACTCATTGAGTTTCTTTGTGTGTCTGTCATATTCTAGTTTCTTTTCGTTTTCACTTATTTGTTTCTGTATGTCTATGTTTGACTTTTTGACATCTGTTATTTGATTTTTGAGTGAACTCAAATTCATTTGACTTTGAGGGTTATAAGCTGTTCCGTCTGCAGCTCCACCATAGCCTGCCATTTTCGCTAAAAGTGCCGCTCTTAAACCTCCACTCTGTGCACCAATAACTCGGTTTAAAAGCATAGGGTTGCTTGACATTTGTTGCAACATAGTGGGGTCATTCATTATTTGTTGTTGCAACTGTTGTTGTGGTGTCAGTTTTACTATTGGATGTTTCAATGCTCTCTTCCTCTTACGTATATTCTTACGTAGCTTACGTGGCATTTTAAGTGGAGTTAAAAAGCGGTTTTTGACAGATGTTTATATGACACTTTTTGTTCAGCACAAAAAACTACTCGGTCAAAGTGTTGTCAGTTTTGTAAAATAACCGTCCTATCTCATTCTATAAGGGGGAAAAGGCTTCTCAAAGTATACTTCCTTGGAACGCCCGTAACTTTTCCTGTAGCGACGATAGACCCTTGCTTGTCCGGACAAAGTTATACGAAACATCTTCAGGGCTAGAGGGCACGAAGTGCCTGGAAGCCCCACTACCTCTTTTTTTTTTTTTTTTTTTTTTTCATTTGACTTAGTCACTGATAAAATGCACATTGGCTATATTCAAATCAATGATTGTTTTATCAATAAAAATATTTCCGATTCCCAAGTAAAGTTAAATGGAAAAATGGGGCCTTCAATACATTGTTTATGGGTAATATTACAAAAAATGTAAATTGTCTACGATTATAAAATTTTATATTTTTTGTTGAAATTAATATCAAACACACACCATTTTTATTCTAAATTTTTTAACAAATTATTCTGATATCGCATTGAAAATTTTGATATGATGTATCTTTTTTTTTATAAAATGTGACAAAAATTTAATACAATGTTTGCTGTATTAATGATGGCAGGCACTTCCCTCCTTGGAGGCTGGAAAGAAGTTGATTTCGACAGTGAGTTTGTCCAAACAGTTCTTCCATATGTTCACAAGAATTATTTAAAGATTTTACCAGAATATAAGCGCCGTAACACTCTTTGCGCTTTTAAGTCAGCTCAAGTCCAAATCGTTAATGGCTACAATATCAAGATTGTTAACGCTCTTGGATTTGATGAAATCGGACTTGAACTTCATGTTTCTCCACAAAAGGAAATCACAGTTAGAAACTTCGAACACAGAATCTCAAGCAACAAGGAACAAATCCCACTCGCTGGAGGCTGGAAGACTCAGAAATTAGATTATGCTCCAGAACTTGTCCAAAAATGCATTGCCCAGTACAACAGCGTCAAGGGAATCAATGCTCTTCCTGAGAAGATCCTCCTCATCCGTACCCAAGTTGTTGCTGGAATCAAGGTTCACGTTGTTTTCATTGATCAGGCTGGAAAGACGCACTCAACAATTGTCATCCGTAACCCAAGTGGCAAGCTCGCTATGGAATACGGCGACAGCTTCTAAAATATCGGGTTAATTAAATTTGAGTTTTAAATTTTAAGATTTTTTAATATTTATTTTATATTTTAATCAATACTCCTGAGTTTTAGATCATAAGAAGTAAGTTTAAAACAAAATTGCTAAAGAAAATAAATTTTTCCAATTTTTTATTAAGTTTAAAGTTGCCTAGCTTTTGACCAATACTTAAGGACTTCTGAGTTTTTCATTTTGTTTAGTAATGTATAACTCTAAATTGAAATGTTAATCATATATTTCGTAAATTATCTAATTTTCAAACTAAATATAAACAAAAGTAGATCTCTAAAGGGACACCTTTGTAATTATTATAGATAATTTGATTATTTTGAAAATAATTGAAAAATTATTCACCAAAATTAAATTAAAACACACAATTTTATTAACAACAAATCAATTCTGAGCTTTTTCAGCTATTGAAGGTAAGTACAATGAAGACATAACTTCGTTATAATTAGGTAGAGATTGGAACCATTTATGATGCAAAGCATCGTTAATAGTAAATCTCGTATCAGGATTTTTATCCATTAAATGCAATATTAAATCTTTTGCGTCGTCTGATACAGGTATAGAATCAGGAAACACTAAAGGATCATTTTTAACCCTCTCTGAATTTCTAACCCAAACCGCAAGATAAACCGAGTCATTGTTACTACCATCTAAGAAAGGAACGTAACCGAATAACATAATAAATAAAGAAACTCCGCAAGCCCACACATCAGCTGGCTTACCTTTAAATGGTTGGCCTGTAAACTGTTCCGGTGACGTAAACGCTGGTGTTCCTTCTGTATCATCTAAATATTCTGAATCGATCATGAATCTTGCTGCTGAATAATCGCCAATTGCTACATGCCCGTCAGAAAATGTCATTATATTTTCCGGCTTTAAATCTCTATGCACAATATTTTTAGAATGTAAATAACGTACTCCTTGACAAATCTGGAAGAAAACATCCTTGGCCTTTTCCTCTGGAATCGGCGTGGTTTTCACTTTTTGAGGTAATAAGCAGCCGTTATCTGCAAATTCTTCGATAATATAATATGCGTTATAAACTTGATCTTCTAAAACTTCTTTAAATTGGATACAATATTTGCATTTAATCATTGACATTACTTGAATTTCTTGAAGAACTTTTTGTATGGTAGGACCATTATTTAAAGTATTGTATTGAAGCATCGTTTTGTCGTAAACTTTTGCTGCATAATACGTATTTGTTTCTGTATTTAATATTAAATAGACTTCAGCGCCCGTTCCTCGACCTATTAATCTTAAAAATTTGTATTCAAAAACTCTTTTTTCGCCAGGACTTGACATGAGGGTTTGGAAAGAGACTTCACATGGAATTCTTTCCTCATCTTCTTCAGGCCCCCCGTAATTATACATTTGAGGATCTGGATCATCATATACTTCATCTTCTTCCTCATATCTTTGATCCTCTTCCTGCTGAGGCAGCATGCCTACGCGTGACGTAACTGGGCGGGTCTTCTGATCTGCACGTGAGAGAGAACAGCCCATTTGATTATCTTTATAATATTAAGGGTGCACACGAGAGGATCATGTAAACTTCAGAATTTAGAACCTTATTTTTAGGCATTATCTTGGCTACCTATTTAGGCTCGAAAAGCAAAAAAATATCAAAAAATACAACTTGACTCCATTATGACCCTTTCATGGAGGTAGTTTTTATCCGCTAGTATTTTCCCTTTGAATCTCTTTACAATTCGAAATCAAATTCAAAACTCAGTAGAAGAAAGGAAGAATCGACTTACTACGGTTGTAATACGAATAAATACATATATTTAATTATTTTTATTTACATAATAATTGTTTGAAGCTCATATTCCAACAAATTTTTAAATAAAAACATTAAAATGTTGAAAATGTTCATATATTTTAATAGGGTTTTGGCACTTTATTGAGGAATTACTACATACATAGTCGAACTGAACTTGATATTTTGAAATTTAAATTATTTATCAAAATTAAAATTTAACTTGAAATTTATAATTATTTAGTCATATTTTGCATAATTCTAAGTAGATTTTGTAAAAAATCAAGAAAGAAAAATTTTAACGTGCTTTATTTTTTCTTTTTTATAATAATACATATTATTATATAATTAACATATTCATAATGTTTCACCCTTTCAAAAATATAATCCTCCTCTCAAATAAACGTACATACGGGTGGCCTCTTTTTTCAAAAAATTAAAATTTGAAATTTTGGGCTCAAATATTAGAGCTTTTTTCAACCTTCAACGATATATGTTGTCTATATCAGACCTCCTTTCTTTTTGATACTTAACATTGTTCCTAAATCTTAGCCGTTAAGGCTGTTCTGAAAATATTTTTTTTTCGAAAAAATTCGAAAAAAATTCTTAAAATTCAAAAATCCCTTAATTCCTGAGGATTTTGGAAAAAAGTTTTTACATGAACATGTGTATATTATATGAAGTATATTGATAAGGTAAAAATCAAATTTTATTGCATATTCATCGAGAAAATAAACTAACGAATCCCTCAAAATTGAGAGGGTAATCCTCCTCCTCTCAAATAAACGTACATACGGGTGCACCTTTAATAAAAAAAAACGTGAATAGCTTATTATGCTTAACTATATTCATAGACACAATTTGATTCAATAAATTCCATATCAGAATTTTTTTTCCTTCATTTTTTTTGCCCGTTATTTTTGGAAGTTTGATTTTTAGGTGGCAATGCAAAAAATATCTATCATTTTATAAATACAAGCAAGATAGGATTGTTTCCAGCTCCAAATTCCGGGTAAATTAAATTGAAGATTATGAATCCATAAATACTTGGGGTTTGTTGCCTCTAAATAAACTCAAAAATATCATAATGCAACAATTTAGTATATTTTAATAATTGTGGGAATTTTTCAAATCTTGTACGCGATTCTGTCATCCATATATTCTGAACAAGCAGATCAAATGTATTTTAAAATCAATCCAAATGTAAATAAAACATCAACCTCATAATATGAATATATTCACCTTATTCATATATATTGTATATATCAATAACTATTTGAATGAGTGGATCATAATGAATGATAAATTAGCATATGAAAACTAAATAAACAGAATAATTAGTAAAAATGCAAAAATTTAAAATTCCATGAAAACAGAATTGATAATAACATAATAAACATTAAAATAGGTCATTAGAGATCAATTAGTTGCTGTGGCGCCATTTTCGTGACAGTTGGCATGTTTCTCAATTTAGAGAACAAAATTGTTTCGATTCCTGGCACAGATGGAGTGAACAAGATGAATGAAACAACTCTGTATACTGTCCACCATTTTGTAGTAAAGAATTTAATTCTGATCCATCTGAATTTTCTTTCTACACGGTGGTATGTCTTTGTGAATATAAACTGAGTGCATAATGGCCAGATAAGTGATACCCAGTGATGAATTGTGAGGACAAGTAAAATTGTATGTAAATGCTCTCGGTCTACGATGCAACCAATTGCCATTATGATACTAGCAAATATTGCAGTGACATATTCTGTGACGTAAAGTTCTAAACCTGGATAAATACATTCGATCGGATTATCTGGACGACAACATGCAATAAGACATGTTCTTAACGAAACAACTTCTATCATAAACATAATTATTGCTGTTCCAAGGTTTGCGCATACAGAAAATGATTTTCTTCTACGAGTAACGGCGCAAACATAAGCGATGAGAGCAATATGAATGATATAATAAATTAGACAAGCAAGAGATCCTAAAAATCTGATTTCACGTAGAACAGCCCAGGCTTGATTTTCACGGGCGAGTAAATAATCGTGATCATCAAGAACCAACTTATCTAAATCTACGTATCTTTCATCTATTTCTGCTTTGTTAAATCTGTCAGCAGAATCATCAGAGTCATCTGATGAAAACTCGAAATTTGTAAGATGCTCGTGCTGTCCAGGTTCTGGACCTTTATAAAGTTCGATTTGCTCTGACTCGAAGAATTTCATCATTTCTATACGTGTTAAAGTGAGCTCAATGATAGGGCTCGAAATAACGTATCTCTCAGTAAGATCAGGAGAGTTAAAACAGTTGCGTACATCATCAAGAAAATTTTCGTTCTCTTTTGCATCGGCGGCTAACCTGATATTTGCTCTGCACATATCGTACCATATACCAGATTGCAAATATAATTCAGAACACCGCATGATTAGAGATATAACATTCTTTGATTCCGGCCGAGTATAGTTTCCCCGAAAAGATCCTCGCAATGTTTGTCGCTCTCCTTCTATTGCTTCTATTGCAGAATTAATTAATGCCGTTGCTTGGTCATCGCCTTTAACATATTGAACAATTTGCGAGGCCATAGTATGCATTTCATTGAGAAAGGCAAACTTCCCGTATTCATTCAGATCTTTTGGATTTGGAGGAAGTTCAACCATAAAAAAATAAAAAACATTCAACAATTTTTTTTATTGAATATTTTTATTGTTTGCCAGTACTATTTATAAAATCTTGTTTTGCAGCATATTTAATTTTCAGTGACATAAAATTCGAAAAAACGACTTCGCCTGAAATTCGAAATCATTGGTAATGTTTACCATTAAGTGATAAAAAGAATATAAAAACAATTTTTGCAATTAATTTGTCAATTTGTTCTAAATTTCAATTCAATCTTTTTATTTTTTAGACAAATATGCATTAGCAGATAAATTATAGTTATCTTTCAACATTTCAAGATTGTACGACAGATTAAATTGTTCTTTACATCAAAATTTCTTTATAAATAGAAATTATCTATTTAGGAAGATGGTTTAGAGGAGATAATTTGAACAAAAACATATTTTTGTGTAAAATTACATCGAATATTACAAGAAACAAAGTGATGCACTAATTAGAAAAATGGCCAGTACCCGAATCTACGCAGATGACTGGTCTTTCTTTGACGATCCTGACAATCGATCATCCAGGCTTGAATTCTCTATTCCAAGTCAATGGTCGCAATTGGATGTTATCAAGCCTGCAAAGAAACAACTGAAAAAGAAAAAATTACCAAACCCAGACCAAAAACCAAAGAAAAAGCACAATCACGTACTCAAAGAGATCAGAACATACCAAAACTCAGTTGATCTCCTCATTCCAAGGCTTTCATTTCAGAGATTAGTCCGCGAAATCGCACATCAAAACAATCCAACGATCAAGTTCCAGGAAACTGCAATACAAGCTTTGCAAGAAGCTTCTGAGGCATTCCTTGTTGGAATGATGGAAGATGGAAACCTTTGTACCATTCATGCCCAAAGAGTTACGATAATGAAGAAAGATATGAAACTTGCAGAAAGAATTCGAGGCGATTCAATTACTGAGTAAGAAGACTAATTACTGACCCAGATAATTCCAAGTAAAAAATGAAATAATATTCTAAAATTTAAATAATTTTTTTATTTAAACACAAAAAGAACAATTTAAATACATACATTATGTCCGAAGTAAAGATTATGCATTATTGTGTAAGAGTAGCACTTAAAGGATCAAATCTTGCATTTTCTGATTCAGATTCAACAGATGTGACTTTAATTAGTCTATCAATATAGTCTTGAATAACTGACAAGCCGAGATAAAGAGGTTCTCTTGAGAAAGAAATGAACAATGTGTGATATATCACTGAATGTTCTTTTTCAATGAAATTGAAATCATTATGCTTTTCCAAATACGCATTTCTAACTTCAGGATTTCTTTCGTTCTTAAATTTAATGAAAATATAAATGATAACTGAATGGAGACAACATAAAGTTCCTAGAACCAAAGCTATAACAAAAACGATTATTTTCCCTCTGATTGAGTGTGCATAGCTTTGACCTGTAGGATCATTCTTATCAATCTCTTTCATATAAGTGAGAAACGGCAAAAAGATTAAACATATAACTGAAAGCAAAAATATTGTGTCATATGTTATCGCGAACTTTTCAAATGGATAATATTCATTCATTATATTTGAAAAAGTCATGGCGGCTTGCAAAATACTAAGGATCATTAAAATTGGTAAAGAAATGTTAAGGGTCCACTGTAAAAATTGAAAGTCTCTCAAAATTGAGAGGCGATTTGCAAATAATCGTTATCGTCTTTTTTCAAAAATCCACTTTTCCTAGTGTTCTGATTAATATTTTGTGAATGTAACAATAAAGTATATGTTTTAGTAAGATGATAATACATTCTATCACTTCAAATCACATAAAAATTGCAAAATCAGCGAGTTTTATAAGAACATGATTTTTTTCGAATTTTTTCGCTTCTGGATGCGTGTTTTGAAAAATAGATATTTTCGAATTTTGATTTTAATTTAAGTATAAATTTTATATTAGGAATTTTTTTGACCTATTTCCAATCATTAAATCCTAAGTTTTTCTAGGAATTTAATTGAGAAGAAATTAGGAAATTCGCTTTAATACCATTACATTCTAATATTGTGATGCATGTAGTTTATATTTATTGAGGCTAATGCCGGAATATCGTGCATTTTATAAAAAATTCAAAGAATTGACAATTGGATAGCACAAATTTAATTCTCTAGACAAAGTATTATTGTTTATATATTCAAAGCATTATCCTTCGTTTTGAAATGTTGGCCAAAAATTTTCGTGTTATTTTTTGTGTTTCAGCATAAATTATGTATTTACTTATGAAAGATAAGCATTTTATTCATTATCATAAAGATATACCAAAACAAATTGATAAATTTTTAAAAAAATGTGTATTTTAGTGGGTATTATTCTGGCCAATGCCCATTTTTAAACGATTTAATATTGACCATATCAATAGCCGACTCAATGTAAAAATTTAGATATTATTTTTTTCATTATTCAAACTTTGATAAATTTTAGTATAATGAATGATTTTGTTTCGTGTATGATACAGAAATGAAAAGCTTGATTAATATCATTTTGCATTTTTTCAAGAATGTTAGAGTACATCTACATTAAAAAATCGGATTCGAATTGCGATACTGCATCAAATTGTTGCACATCTGATAAGGATCTCAAAAGAGTAAAGTTAATTTTTTTTGTGTTTTTTTAAGTTTTGGGCCTTAGTAAAAACACCATCTTGAGCAATATTTTTGGGACGACGATAGGCCTTATTTGGCCTTACAGTGGACCCTTAAAGAAATATCTACTGATGAACGATTTTTCTCTGTTAAAAAATACTGTAAAATCTTGTATTGACTTGATTAAGCAAATGAAGGCAACATCTCCAAAAAAGTATGATACACAAACAACAATAAAGAATGTATCATCCTGGGTTTTACGCATAACAAGAATTATAAGTAATACAATTGATCTCGCGAGTTGAAATAGACGAAATAGAAATCTACTTGTATATCTTTTGATTTTTTCGTTTTGATTGCGGAAAAATACGCAAACAAATACAAATATCATGTATAATGTACATAAACTCATGTACGAAACAAGTCCTATTCTCAGACCCTGGGCTTTTTCCATTAATGTCAGATTTGACTCTATCAGACTTTTGAAATTTGAATGTGATTTTTGATATAAATATTACAGCTGATCTGAACAGTACGCTATTTGTCCTGTTTATCTGCATGTATGTGCTGAGGAGAATCATTGGATCCATTTGTTCCCAAAGAGTTCGAATTAACAATTGATTTTTACATTTATCGAAATTAGAATTAATATATAAGACTTTCAAATGTAAGTCCAATTTTTGAATATTACTAATAGAACAATGATACTTTATTTCTCAATTTCTCAAAACTGAGTTTGGCGATTCCAAAATAAAAAGATATATTTAACTATGGATAGTTAACTAATATCACCAATTAAATATATATTTTATAGGTGTACGTTTAGCGAAAATAAAATGGATGAAGATCTTTTGCTGAAAGAGATTTCAGGCCATGAATTAGCTGCTCGATTATCAGGAATACTTCAAATTGAAGATTCGTTAGAAAATTCCGAGTTTTCTGATGAATTTATTTCCAAAATTTACTCCCCAATTTGCAAATGTCTAAAAACCTCGCATCAACAAGTTAAAAATAGAAGCCTTCGGATTATACACAGAATATTAACCGATTATTTCCAAAAAATCCAATATCAATCGTTACCTCTTCAGACGTTATTTTATCAATTTACACCAAAAAACGAAGAAAATCTTCAAATGATCAAAGATTGCATAACTATTATTATCAATCAAGCTTATCCTAAAGAATGGATCGAAATTCTCGAAAATACATTACTTAAATCTTTAAATAGACCTCTCAAGATTTTCCTTATTGGCGTAATTAGAGAAATTCCATTGTTATTATCTACAGAAAAGTATTTGACCCTATTAGAAGATCCATCTCTTGATCTGGCTATTGAAGCACAGAGCCTACTCAAATTTTACTCTCCACAAGAAATCCGATACATTGTTAGCAGAGTATATTACTCAAATAAGATGCCAAAGAAAAACAAGCAAGTTATTTTGAAACTTTCGAAGGAGATTTACGAAAATGCTAAATCAGGAAGCATTCAAAAGTCACCAACAACTAAAAGACATGAGATTCCAAAATATATCCATGAGATATTGGCTCTTTTGTCACAAAGGAAAGAAAGAATTTCAATTGCTGAACTACAAAACAGGACACCTCGTAAAACCCCAACTAAACAGACTTCTGAAAATTCCAAATTTACTCCCATCAAATCTCCAAATAACGAAAATGAAATTTTGAATGAATCTGGAAACATAAGCGAAAATGAAAATTACAGCGAAAATGACTTTAACTTTGAGGATGATAACCAAGATAGTCTGAATAGTTTGATTGACACTTCAAGATCAAATATTAAAACAAATGAAGATGAATCATTCGATCCAGAATTTCCATCACCATCAGACAAACAATATGTTGATTCAAATACTCAATCTAAATCCCAAATTTCAAACAAAAACGAAAATGAAATTTCATATACTAGTTCAACTGCTCAAGATGGAGAGAAAATGCCAATTCCTAGATTTTTATCAGGCCAGCTCAATAGGACAAAAACAGATTTTGAAACTGCGACATCACAATCGCAATCACAAGCTCAAAACTCAGAAGAACGTTCTCGAGTTTCAAACGAGAATGAAAATTCCCACTTGTCACAAGGCAGCAGAGCTTCCCGGAATGCTAGCAATTCTCAAATTGGCAATTCCAAACAAAATTCAAGAAATCTCGATTCACAACTCGCAGATGAAGATGATCAGCTTAATAATAATGATAACAGAAGTTTTTCAAACATGGATTCTGAACTTTCCAATGAAAATTCTCAGATTTCTAATGAAAACTCTCAGTTATCCAACAGGAAGTCACAAAGTCAACTTTCTAACAAGAGATCACAATTGTCTAATCAAATTTTGCATCTTTCCAATCAAGATTCTCAAATAGAAGATCAAAAGTCCCGAAGCCAGCATTCAATCAATCAGAGGAGATCTTCACAGGCTATTTCAGATCAATATGGAGATAATTCTGAGGAAAATTTCAATAAAGACACAGTCTTTGGAAATTCTGAATTAATTGATCCAGAGTTATTAGAAGATAATGGCTTTAATGACGGATTTGAAGAAATGTATCGTGCAGAATATAACAAATATGCAGATCTTCCATTCAAACTTCGTGATTTAAGTAATCGTCCTTGGATTGAACGATGTTCTTACTTAGATATCATTCAAAAGCATATAGATGAACATGAACTAACAGAAGATTATGGTGTTGTTCTCGAAAGTTGCATGAAATGCGCTTATCCATTGCATTTCAGAGTTACAAAATCTCTTTCTCATTTGACATCAACAATCATGATGTTCCATCCTGAAGCGATTAAATCAAACATTAGAGAGATCCTTGTTTTCGCCACATCTGGTGCAATTCAAAATATTTCAATTGAAAATGAACTTATTCAAACAATTATTGAGGAAATCAATATTAATGATTTATTGAATGAAGCTGTTGAAATAATTGACGAATATCCTAAAGCAGGACAATTCATCATCTCCATTGTTTGCTTATCTCTCGAGAAATACAAAGATGCTAAACTTGATAAACATTCAACAACGAGATTCCTTTGTTATGTTTTGTATGAATCTAAAGACAAAGAATCAGAAAATAGAGTTTATGAATTGATTTCTAAATCAAATCAGGATATTTTCAGTTCATTTGTCAGCCGCCAAACATTTTCAAACAGAGCAAAACTGTCTAAATATGTTGTTAAGAAAGCTCCCACTCCAAAGAAACAAGTAACACCAACTAAAAAATCAAATTCTCTTTCTATGTCAACTAACGAAGCCTCAATTGCAATGGATACAATCACAGTTGAACTTGGAAAGAAAGGAGATTGCGATTTAGACGAATTAGAAATGGCATTTGAAAAAGTAGTAATTTCTAATTTCAGCCATTTGACTATGATATTCCAAAAGTTTTTATCATGTTTATCATTTATGGATTCCCAGAAAATCGATGAAAATAGTGAAGCAATCAGAGATATTTGCAAAGTTCAATTCAAAGATAATCAGCTACTTAGATTCTTGTCCTCAGACCCACCAATTGAACTAATTCGTGGACTTGCTTCCATTGCAACTTTGATGCCAATTACAATTTTTTCAAATTCCTCAGTATACCTTGAAGAATTATATGACTATTTTGTCGAATCCAGTGGATCAGATAGAAGAGTTTTATGCGTTTTATTTACAGCGATTTTGAAATGCGACGGTGATGATATTCGCGAGAAAGATTATGTATCACATCAACACAAGTATGTTATCAATACTTTAATGTCTAAACTGATGTAATTTAAATTATTTAAATGTTTTATTTATAACATATTAAGGGTGCACCCAAAAAAAAGCTTCTATCTTATTTTCCCCCTTTAAAAATCATTTTTACTAATGATTGGGTGTTTCTCGAGGAATTTCATAACTTGCGTTTAAATTCTGATTCGAATAAAAGTGGATGTATTCTTGCAAACAATTGACAATATTCACCCAGAGAGTTCTCTTGATCTTCTTGCTCTTCTGCATCGGTCATTGTTCTCCATGGCTCAGGAAAAATATCAAAATCTTAAAAAATTTTAGGCTTAATTTTCTCAGGATATTCTGGTTCTACTACTTTAAATGAAGAGAGAACCTAATTAGACTCTGCTTCCTGATGTTTTAGGAACCATTCTAATGCAGCACCGAAAACCTGTTGACACCACAAAATTACAGATTTGCATCAGAGTTTCCTATTTCTCCAATCGCTTATCAAGTCGTTTTTAAAGCGAAGTCTTCCATTTTCTGTTGAAGTAAGATTTTCTTCAGATAAAACACTCGAAACATTCAATGGAGTCAGTCGATTCATCACTGTTTCTAAGAACACAACATCAAGAGACATTATGAAGAAAGTTGAGTCACTTGACATGCTAAATCTCCAAGGTGATGCACCTCCAGAGATAATCATTTTCTTTAACGAGAAACCAAACATCAGAGAAACGATCGGAATAGACACAGAGATTTTCCCAAACATCAAGAAATTAATTTCCAAAGCTAAGTCTGACTCGAGCCGTATTGTTATTGCGATTGTTTCTAACGATCCTTTCTTGAATAATAGGACGAACTACTTGACGAGATCTCTTTCGGGACTTTTGAATCCGAACAACAAATCTTCTCAATAAAAATTTGTTATTTATTTTATTGGTATTATTTCAGAAATAAGTTATTTTTTTTGCGAATTTAAAAAATCATTTTTTACTAATGATTATGATTTTCTTGACGAATTTCATTTCTTGAGTTTGAATACTGGTGGTCTCATTATTTTAATTGATGGTCCAAAACGTGGTTGTGGTCTGGAGTAAATCTCTCTTATGCATTCTGGCATACCACCATTTGACTCGGCTTCCTGATGGGATAAAATATACTGCGAAATTGCATCTCCAGCTTTCTGTATACCTTGTTTTATAGCCCAATTTACAATCGCTCCTATAATGTTATCTTGATCTTGTTGTTCTTCTGCATTAAATGAGGGTGGAACGTAATTTGATTCGGCTTCTTGACGGCTTAAAATCCATTGTAATGCAGCACCTCCTACAATTCTAGCAACAAGTGGCCAGATATTCTCTTGATCTTCTTGTTCTTCTGCATTAAATGAGGGTGGAACGTAATTTGACTCGGCTTCCTGATGGAAATAATGCTTAAATACGCCTTTAGCAGCTCCTTGTAGAAGTTGTCCTGCTACAAATCTTAAAATAATTCCCACGCAGTTATCTTGATCTTCTTGTTCTTCTGCATTAAATAACGGTGGAACATAATTTGATTCTGCTTCCTGATGGCGGAGACGGTCATATATCATCTTTCCTCCTTTAAGCAAAAAATGTGATCCAGCACCTATTGCTGCCTGCTGAGCGAGCCAAACTGCAATTGGAGCAAGTGGAATAAAGTTATCTGGATCTTCTTGTTCTTCTGCGTTCTTCCAAGTTGGTCTGAGGAATGGTCCTGGAACAAAACCTGTTGGATACTTGATAAGAGGTCTCCTGCGAAGACCTTGCTTGAGGTCTCCTGCTAAGCGAGATGTAGAGAGCATCGCGAATGCAAACATCATTTATTAAAATGATGAATTTCAATATTGTAAAGATTCGAGAAGAAGCCGAATGTCAAATTTGACATTTTTTACGGCGATTTTTATTTAAAAATATAAAATTGTCAGATCTGACAATTTAAACAAGATTCTGCATAAATTACATTCAATTATAATCCATAATTTTTACATCACTATACTAATTTTATCAAACTTTGACGTGTATTCAAATTTTCTGAGTTTCTGATACAATCAAAGTTACTTAATATACATATTGAATCATAATTTTGTAGGTATGATTCAAATTCAGATGAGTTAAACCAATCCTTTTGAATTGTTATGAATTTAATAATGCCCCATTTAAAAAAAATGTTCGCATTTTGTTTATTTTAAAAATATCATTGACCAACTTAAACTCAGAAAATTTGAATACACGTCAAAGTTTGATAAAATTAGTATAGTGATGTAAAAATTATGGATTATAATTGAATGTAATTTATGCAGAATCTTGTTTAAATTGTCAGATCTGACAATTTTATATTTTTAAATAAAAATCGCCGTAAAAAAATGTCAAATTTGACATTCGGCTTCTTCTCGAATCTTTACAATATTGAAATTCATCATTTTAATAAATGATGTTTGCATTCGCGATGCTCTCTACATCTCGCTTAGCAGGAGACCTCAAGCAAGGTCTTCGCAGGAGACCTCTTATCAAGTATCCAACAGGTTTTGTTCCAGGACCATTCCTCAGACCAACTTGGAAGAACGCAGAAGAACAAGAAGATCCAGATAACTTTATTCCACTTGCTCCAATTGCAGTTTGGCTCGCTCAGCAGGCAGCAATAGGTGCTGGATCACATTTTTTGCTTAAAGGAGGAAAGATGATATATGACCGTCTCCGCCATCAGGAAGCAGAATCAAATTATGTTCCACCGTTATTTAATGCAGAAGAACAAGAAGATCAAGATAACTGCGTGGGAATTATTTTAAGATTTGTAGCAGGACAACTTCTACAAGGAGCTGCTAAAGGCGTATTTAAGCATTATTTCCATCAGGAAGCCGAGTCAAATTACGTTCCACCCTCATTTAATGCAGAAGAACAAGAAGATCAAGAGAATATCTGGCCACTTGTTGCTAGAATTGTAGGAGGTGCTGCATTACAATGGATTTTAAGCCGTCAAGAAGCCGAGTCAAATTACGTTCCACCCTCATTTAATGCAGAAGAACAAGAAGATCAAGAGAATATCTGGCCACTTGTTGCTAGAATTGTAGGAGGTGCTGCATTACAATGGATTTTAAGCCGTCAAGAAGCCGAATCAAATTACGTTCCACCCTCATTTAATGCAGAAGAACAACAAGATCAAGATAACATTATAGGAGCGATTGTAAATTGGGCTATAAAACAAGGTATACAGAAAGCTGGAGATGCAATTTCGCAGTATATTTTATCCCATCAGGAAGCCGAGTCAAATGGTGGTATGCCAGAATGCATAAGAGAGATTTACTCCAGACCACAACCACGTTTTGGACCATCAATTAAAATAATGAGACCACCAGTATTCAAACTCAAGAAATGAAATTCGTCAAGAAAATCATAATCATTAGTAAAAAATGATTTTTTAAATTCGCAAAAAAAATAACTTATTTCTGAAATAATACCAATATAATAAATAACAAATTTTTATTGAGAAGATTTGTTGTTCGGATTCAAAAGTCCCGAAAGAGATCTCGTCAAGTAGTTCGTCCTATTATTCAAGAAAGGATCGTTAGAAACAATCGCAATAACAATACGGCTCGAGTCAGACTTAGCTTTGGAAATTAATTTCTTGATGTTTGGGAAAATCTCTGTGTCTATTCCGATCGTTTCTCTGATGTTTGGTTTCTCTTCTCTGGATTATCTCTGGAGCATCATTAGCCGAGAGATTACAAGTGACTCAACTTTCTTCATAATGTCTCTTGATGTTGTGTTCTTAGAAACAGTGATGAATCGACTGACTCCATTGAATGTTTCGAGTGTTTTATCTGAAGAAAATCTTACTTCAACAGAAAATGGAAGACTTCGCTTTAAAAACAACTTATACTTCTTGATTGAGTTGATTGCTTTGTGTCGAACAACGTCAACTCTTAAGTTCTCATTTTTTGGACATTCCCTTTTATGTAAGATTCGCCGGTTGCACTCGAATGTGCCAATGGAAAGAACTAAATGAAGTTTATCACCGTATTTGCATCCGGGGAATAATTTGCCACTAACATTAAGCAACTCTTGTGCTGTAGTTCCTTTACGAGCCCAGTATGGACTAAGAAGTTCGTTTGTGAACTTATTAGAGATACAAATCATGTTTAAAGGAGTAAACAATGATATAGAATATGCTGTAGGACCATTCTTTAATACTTGATATGTGATTGGAGAAATAGGAAACTGTGAAGCAAATCTGTAATTTTGTGGTGTCAATGGATTCGTTCCATTCAAGAACAAAATTGAGGATGGATTAATTCCGGTGAACAAAGAAACACGTTTTTGGATATCGCTGTAAACAGAATTCTGATTAAATATGTATTTCCTGTCATTAATACTCAAGAAAACTTTTGTTTGTGTCTCAAGAGTAATGATTGATCCTGGATTCAAAAAATAATCTAAACTTTTAATTTGTTTAGATTTGTATCTGTAAACTGAATTATTGTCTTGTAGATCATTCTTTAATTGTTCACAAGTAGTAAGTTTGATGCATTTGTTTGGACCACGCTTAGGAATAATAAACAATGGTCCACTGTTGTATTCAACAGGAACAATGTAAAAAGTTGTTGTCAAACCTTTGATAACGAAAATAGAAGCACAAATGTCTAAACTCAATGGGCCAATTAAATCTTTCATTCCTGGCATAAGAGCCCAAGCAAAATATTGTTTGAAATCTACATTTGGTTTCAGATTTTTAACAATTTCAGAGATATTTACATTTTCATCTTTCCATTCATATGAACTTGATACTTTCTGTAATGGATTGCCAACGATGTCTTTGTAGAAAATGAACTTGGAAAAGTATAAATCTGCTCTGTGTGGTGCAAGATGCAAAGGAATGAAGTCACTCGGCTGAATATAACTGATGCAATCTTTTCTCACATAGAAACACATATAAGCAACAGCGGAACTGAACGTAAATGCCCCGAAAAAGCTTGGTTGACTCTTTGTTGATGTTCCAAATAAACGAGAAACAAAAGATTCATCGACAATTTTGGTGGATCCGTCATTAAATTGAACCCAGTTGTTGGAACCTGTCTTAATAAATGATGTGTAATGCCCGTACATAGGATTTCCTGAATGCGCAATGATTCCGTATAATTTATAATTTTTTTCTGTTTTTGTATCGGTAGAAGAGAATGTACTCATATCTAGATCGAATGGACAATCGAATGATGACTTAATTTCGATAATACAGTTCTTTTTTGTCGAATATTTAAATCTACATAATTGAAAACTTAAAATTGGAGGTGGTTGTGAGAATGTAAGTTTCTGGGTTGCTTGTGCTCGACCTTTTTCGCCGGTATCGTAATCGTCTGAAAGTAATTCTGGTGCAGTTATTAAACTTAAACTTTCTCGAAGAGATTTGAGACCATCGACGATAATCGGCATGGTCGTAAAACTTTCTTCGGTAGTAGAAACGTAATCAACAGAAGGGCATTCGATAGTTCTTGTCGTTGTTCCTCTAAAAAGTTGCGATTCGCCTTGAACAAACTTCTCGCCTAAATCTGTTTCTAATCTCTCTAGTAATGCAACGAGGAATTCGTGCGCATCATGTTGAACCATTGATAATTCGTTGACACTTCCAAGAGCTCTAATGAAATTATCGGGAGAAGGAGCACGACTGGAAAGCTGTAGGTCTGTAAAAAGGTTTTGAAGTGACATAACTGAATCTGGGGGATCTTTAAATGAATATAAAAGATTTCGAAATGCTGTTGTATGAAAAAGAATCTGTAAGACTGATGCCATGTAGCACGTTGATCCGGAATTTCTAATTCCTAAGTATCTGTCTTTTCTTGTGTATGGATATTTTGATGATAATATAACTCTAAAATATAATTTATCAGGGAGCTCTTTATTGACTGTAATTAGGCAAAATGGATATTTTTTGCTGAATGATGCTGTCGTTGATGCTAATATAGTTCCAAGAAAATCTTCTGCTATAAAAACTTGGAAAGAAAACATTTCATCATAGTGCCACTGTTCAGCAGAACAGCAAAATACTATGATTGTTGATGTCTGTTTGTTAACAAAAGCGGCAAAATTTTCTCCTTCTTGATTAAAAACTTCAGATCTAAAGTAATTCATGCCAAGACAAGATGCTTTTGTTAAATCCCATGCTACAAATTTGTTTGGGTCAATTGTGATGGAGCCTGACTGACCCATTCAAAGATGTAATCAAAGGAAAAAAAAAATAAAAATTTATTATATGAGTTTATATCCATGTAGTCGCTGAAATGACTATATTTAAATAAACTATATTTCAAATTCAATTTTTGAAATTATTTTGTCTTCGATAGATATAGATTTATTGCATGCCATAGCAATAAAATGATAGCATATGAAATATATTAATGATTTAATTAAATAATGAAGACAATCTTTTGTAATAACATTATCATCCAATGGTATGCTACAAAAGTAGAAACTCTTTATATTCTCCAAAATCAGAAAGCAAAATCATTCTTTATGGTTTCAAATCAAAGTCAGATTTTCACAATGAATAACTGCATAAGTAAAATCTCAATCAACGAACCCTATCTTACTTATCGTATAACTTAAGAAATGAAGTTTATTGATATTTTTGATATATGTTCCATTATATTAAGGGCACACTCACCACTTTCTGACACGCTCAGATAATATCAACATATCTTTATTTTAATGGCAAAAGAGTATAATAGCCATTTTAGGAACTAATCACTGATTTATAATAACCTTTTCTCGATCAAAAATATTAACTTTTGACCTTAGAAAATTGGGATATAAAGCTTGTGTGTCAAAAAAAATTGAGAGAATGTCAGAATGTGGTATAAGTGCACACTTAAGATAAGGGTTTCGTTTTGCGAAAAAAACGTACAATACGCAATTTCGCTAAAAAAACATTTAGCTAGCAATTTCGACCTTTGACTCCACTCAAGACGTCACTTTTTTAATTTTGCGGTATCATATTTTTGGAAAATCTTTATGAATATTATATAAAAAGTCTCTTTAATATCTATATTTCATATTTTTATCGATTTTTAAAGTTTTTGCGAAAAGTATTCAATTATTTTTGCTATTTGGTCGGGTAAATGTCAGATTTGCGACATTTTCTGATATGATATTCAGATTCTACGTTGAGAATAATGCTTATAGAACCCTCTTGCTATTGTGTCAAAATTGCGAAACCGATAGCAAAAATATCTCGCAATATCAAAATTGAGATATTGAGTGAATTATGCATTATAGAGATTAAAAATCTGATTTGTGAAAACATCTCATCAGTTTCTAGCTAATTCAAAAATCTTTACTATCTTATTCGATTAAAATGAAAAGGGAATAGTTTCATTATGCTTTAAATGACAGCCTTATAATATAATCATAGTTTTCGCTCAATATGCAGCATTTTTTTTTCGAAATCTATGGTCAATGTCCTAAATACTGATTGCTTTGCATTCATATCTCTTACATTTTCTATACCCACATCACTATTCATTGCTATTCCTATCTTTTTCATTTTTGTTTGTTTCTCATAATTTCTCAAAAAACACGATAACTTGATATTTGTAAATATCATACTTTATAACGTAAATAAGAACTTGACCTATTAAGAAAAGCAGTAATGAAAAGAAAATCTGAAATTCATAAAAATTACAAGTTTCTGATGACAATTAGTTTAATTAAACCAGGTACAAGATTATATAATTGTATTTTCTATCCAATTATCCATATAATATCTTATCCAGAAAAAATAACTTGATCAATACCAAATGATTTTTTAACTAGTAAATAAAGTATTTTCTTTACACACACATTGTATATCATAGTTTTTTTTTTTTTTGGTTTCGCAAAACATCCAAAAACAAATATGCTATAAAAGTGACAATTTTAGCAAAACGAAACCCTTACTTAAGAAAAATTTGTAATTACAACATTTTCAATGAAACCGATGATTTGAAAATTTTTGTCATTTTATTTTTGTGAAATTGTTCTCAAAACTTTTCTCGTTAAGAGCAGTATTTTCATACATTTATGAGTTATTCTGCACATTAAGGTCAAATTATTCCATATCATGGTATAACAAGAACCATAATATCAAAATAAAACCTTCAAAGTTTTACCATGTATATATATGTTACTTTGAAAATCGTTATCAACCAAGACTCTTACTTAAGATTCCACAGAAAGTCATCCAATACTTACAAAACATAAAACCACCAAACAAAAGAGTTTATAAAAGTATTTCAGTATATTATCAAATGGATTTTGCACCATTCACTAAAGGAATAGATTTAAATGAAGAAGATTTCAACTTTATTGCACAAAGGGCAATCAATGGAATTCTTGAAACTTTAACAATTATGACTTATAATTATTATCTCTATCAAGCATGTGAACTTAGTTTTATTTTGGAAAAACTTATTTTGAAATATTTGAAGAAACCAGAACTCAATACACCAGAGGATATTATTTCTTCTTTATCAGAGCTGGCAAAAGATCTTCGTTTCACGGATCATTTTCGATTCACATTTAGACGCCCTACAATAATTTGCCTTAATTTGCCTTATATCTTTCAAGATAGCGATATTGCTGATGAACTTATTAAAAAATTTCCTGATATCCATAGAAATTTATGCGAGTTTGGCGACCCCTTTAAATTATATTCTGAATATGAATATTCAGAGTTAGATACAAACAATCCAGTTCGAGATTTCTTAAAGCGGCGTGAAGAAGTAATAAAAGAATTTGAGAGGCTCAGGAGAGCAAAGCATCCGGGAATAACATTTAAAGAGACAGATTATGAGCGTGATTACCATTGCTCACAGAAATAAGAATCAAATTACCAATCTCTTGTTTATAATAATAATTAATAATTTATTTTAAATATAGAAGATTTTATATATTTTCTGGATAATGATTTTGATAATTATATCGCTCAATTAATGACCAAAAATGAAATATCCGATCATGATGATACTTTTCAATTAAATTCCAGATTGAAGGATGAGTCGATGCAACTCTTTATTAAACTAAGAGAAATTTAGTCATTTTAAATAGATTGCTAACTGAATTGGTTCGGATAGATGCTAATTTCATTGAAATAGAGTATTTATGAATACTGTATACAAAAAAAGTTTTGGTAAAAGGTAAAAGAAATTTTGAGTGCAAATGATATGAGAAAAATGAAATCAATATTAGAACGTAATAAAAATAGTCATCACATTAAAAATTTGAAATTACAATATTTTCAATGAAACCGATGATTAGAAAATTTTTGTCATTTTATTTTTGTGAAATTGTTCTTAAAACTTTTCTCGTTAAGAGCAATATTTTCATACATTTATGAGTTATTCTGTACATTAAGGTCAAATTATTCCATATCATGGTATAACAAGAACCATGATATCAAAATAAAACCTTCAAAGTTTTACCATGTATATATTTGTTACTTTGAAAATCGCTATCAACCAAGATTCTTGTTTAAAATTCCACAGAAAGTTCTCCAGTACTTACACAATTTAAAACCACCGAAAAAAGAGGTTTATAAAAGTATATCAATCTGGTATCAGATGGATTTTACACCATTTACTAAAGGAATAGATTTAAATGAAGAAGATTTCAACTTTATTGCACAAAGGGCAATCAATGGAATTCTTGAGACGTTAAACATTATGACTTATAATTATTATCTCTATCAAGCATGTGAACTTAGTTTTATTTTGGAAAAACTTATTTTGAAATATTTGAAGAAACCAGAACTCAATACACCAGAAGATATTATTTCTTCTTTATCAGAGCTGGCAAAAGATCTTCGTTTCACGGATCATTTTCGATTCACATTTAGACGCCCTACAATAATTTGCCTTAATTTGCCTTATATCTTTCAAGATAGCGATATTGCTGATGAACTTATTAAAAAATTTCCTGAAATCCATCGGAATTTATGTGAGTATGGTGATCCTCTTGAACTCAATACTAAATTTGAATACTCAGAGTTAGATACAAACAATCCAGTTCGAGATTTCTTAGCATTACGTGAAGAAGTAATAAAAGAATTTGAGAGGCTCAGGAGAGTAAAGTATCCGGGAATAATATTTAAAGAGACAGATTACGAGCGTGATTACCATTGTACACAGAAATAGGAATCAATTTACCAATTTCTTATATTTTCCAAAATTGTCATTGTCAAGATTAAATATTGATGAAGTAGCCGATTGTATTGCCGTCAATTAATATCATTTTTTCATATTATGAATGACTTGACGCATCTAATTAGTAATATATAAATGATAAAAGATTATCTAAGGTAAATATTTTAGTGTATCTTGTGATCTGGTAATTGATTTATGTTTCCTAATAAAAATTGATCAAATCTTTGAGTCAAAACTATTTGTATGTTTTAATTTCCATTTTAATATCACATTGAGAAAAAATAAGCATACGAAGTAACATGATTACCTTTAATTAAGATTATAAATAAAATGATGCGCTTTGACATCTTCTTCATTCAACAGATTCCATTAGAGTCAATTTTTCTAATTCATATGCGTATGATATGATTATTTCAAATTTAAAATCATTTTGTGGTATCTGTAAAATCATTTTGATAAAGACATCTCTCGATTAATGGTCAATGATGGGATAATTGAGAGAAACGGAAAGATTTTCATGAATTTTGCATTTTTTATCAAATTGTAATTCTATCAGATTCGCTTATATTTTCCTAATCCAATTTTCGATCCTTTTTAAAGAATCAATTAGCAATATATTATTCCAAGCTCTATTACAATTTTATGTGGTTACAAAACCTATTACAACCCAAATACCATATATTTCTTCTGCATAAGATGTAGAACATACTGTTAGGCCAATTGAAGTTGGATTAAGTTGGATTATGTTCTTACATTTTTCAAATATTTTTGATGCGATATCAGATGGATTATTTAAGTAATAGAATACTGAGCATACTTTGAGTGATGAGCTTTCTGGTAATGATTCTTTAATTAAAGATGCAATTGGCATTGTCCAATATTCATCTGGTAATTCAAGTTCTCTAGTTTCAAGTGTTGCGGCAATTGGACGTAAAAATCTCAACAATGTTTGATCAAATTCTTTCTTCCATTGAATTGATAATATTCGACATAATTCGTTTTCTAATTCTAGCTCATTGATAGAAGGTGATTTGATTAAGACTGGAATAATCGTTGGTGGTGTGGTAATCTCAATATTCCATTGAGATGGATCCCAGATATCTGGAGTTGGATTGTCAACATTTGGAGAAACGCGTTTTCTATAACCAACGAGCTTAGTTGCTTTCAAATTATCGATAACAACTCTCTTTTTCTGAATTAAATCCCATTCGATGATAATATCTCCAATAGTAATTACTTTCTCATCATAAATGTATGCATCAAGACCGAAACCACATAATAAGCAAACAAGCAAAGCTGAAAGCTCTTTAATATTTCCTACTCTATTCGCTAAAACATTATGAACTGAGAACGAACGAGGATCTAATTCTTCCTTAGAATTCATTTCTTTCAATTTGAGTTTTGATATTTTATATAATAAATGAACAAATCTGAATGCATGGAATGGTGTTGGTAAAGCACGAGATGATATCGGGCAAATTATGGAGTTTGTTTCATTTCGATGTACAAAGCAATTTTCTAACTGTTGGGAAGAGGCCATTTTGCTTCCCAATTGAATTCTTATATCAATTAGACCGCATTCTTGGGATTGAGAATCATGTAAAATAACTTGATCTCTTAAGTATCCTGAAAGGGATAGACGCCAGTCAAACTGACCGTATCCGTATATGTATGTGCCTTTTTGATTTTCAGCAATCACTGATACAGAAGATTGACCTAATCTAATTAAATCTGTAATTGGTTGATTTAATGTAAGTAAGAAGTTGCATTGTAATTGAGGTTCATCAGATGCTTGAACTTTTGGAGATCTAAAACGATTGCCTGCAATATTTAAATCTAATGTAATGTATTCATTCTGTGGGCATTCTACATAGTTCACAAATGCTGAAGTTGATAATATTTCTATTAAAACTTGATTTGTTTTTAATGTTACTGGAGAATTTTCAAAATCTTCTATTAAATTTTCATTATCGTCATCATTAGTTTGTTGTGTATATGGGAAAGGATGTAAATATCTGATTTCTTCAGGTAAGAGCTTCCGGAAAACCGTGTTTTCGGCTTGCCGCGACTCTTCCATAAAATTTTTAAACGTCATTTTTTCCAATAATCATGTTCATCACTAGCAGAATAAGTAATTTAACATATAAAATTTCTTGAAAAGCAATTTTGGCAATTGTTAGCTTACTTAAACTAATAGTTTTGTTTAGTATTGATGAAATTGAAATCAAAGATAAATTCTAATGAAATAGAGTATCATAATGTTAAAACACATAATTAATAATATATATTTATAAAACAAAACAAGATAAATTAATATAAATAAATAAAATTAAATCCGCGCGGGTGATTTTGGGCTTGTAGGAGGTGATGGTAGTCTATTTGCCCTATTTGGTGATTTTGGTGATGAAGGAGGCGAAGGCATTTGTTTCAATGGACTTCCTTTTCTTTGTACAGAAGAAGATCTTGGAGAAACGATTACAGTTCCATTTGCATTATGCGCAACATGAACTTTCTTATAAACCTTCTTTCCTGAATCTCTTTCTGGATCAAATCTTCTCATTTTTGGTGATTTATGAGGTCTCTTTTTACTTGGGCTTGGAGTTCCTTCTGTATCATCAAGAAGCTCGTCAACATTAACACCAATCATACTCTGTTTCCTTTCTGGCTTCGGTGTTTCAATCTTCGGCTTTTCATCTGATTTTGGAATATAATATTCTTGGTCGAGAGATTTTTGTGGAGTTTCTGGTGTCTTTTGTGGTGTTTTATTTTGTTGGTTATCTGGTTTTGGTAAATAGAATTCATTTTGCAACTTTTCTGAATTTTGTTGATTAATTTGATTTTGAATGGGACTTTTAGGTGGTTCTTCAGCTTTCTTTGGAGTTGTATTGATATCCTGAAGTTGCATGAATCCATTATTGCTTTCAACCATCTCATTAGAATCTGAATCACTTGAACTTGAATATTCTTTATGAGAATCAGAAGAAGAATCTCCATCTTGATATATCTTATATTTTCTTCTTGGAACTTCAGCACCATAATCGAACTTTGGATCAGGATTTTCCGCATCATTCCTTCTCCAATAAATACCAGCATTTAGTCGACGAATTGGAATAGGAATGAACCAACAAAGACAACAAGCCTTTGGTCCAAGTGTTTCTGAACAGTTCGTACAACAACCCAGGTCATATGGATTTGTAAAATCTTGATTCTTCTCAGCTCTAAGTTCTTGCAAAGTTGTTGTGTTTCTACAAAGATATTTAATGTGTCTGCAGAAGACTATCATGAAGAAAATGAAGAATAAAACAATAGGTAATGCACAAGCAAGCATTCCTATTGTAGAAACTCGTACTTTAAATCCGTTTTTAACGAGATTGTAAATCAAATAACCGAAAATCGCAAACCATTCAAGGAATAGTATGATCGTCCAAAGTAATTTCGTAAAGAAATATCGATAGTTCTTTAAACCTACCCAATTTGCTATCCATGGACAAATATGATCTGCTCGTAATATAAGTCTACGTCCTTGCTTTGTCAAACTGCCTCTTTCAGGTTTTTCATGATCATTTGCAAAGTTATATTGCGATTCCGTCGTAATAACACCATCCATATGTTCTTCCCAAGTGTATTGAGTGCCTTGTTCAACAGACCAATACCATGGTAGGTAACCAGGTGATCTGCACATTGTGCAATAGTATGATAAATTCCACATTAAAAAGAAAAACGCAAAAACTGCCATTGCAATATATTGAGGGAGATCATCTAGCAGATCATAAAGGCAATAAAGTCCGAATCCGAATGATACGTACACTAATAATATAACGAGAAGTGGATATGCACAATGGCACTCCCATTGGTTACAAAAAAAACTGTTAATAGATGGGAAATATGCAACACGACAACAACAGCAGTTGCATTTTTCCTCCCACTTGCTTAATAGCGGTACTTGGACCTTCTTCCCCTCAAGGTAGATCCATTTTCCCGCGTATTCTCGCGCCCCCATAAAACTATTTCCGTTTGAGAATTTTAATTATTTTTTATGAGGATAAATTTCATATCAATAATTAGATTTTCAGTTATTGTTGTATTGAGCATAATTGAGAAACCTTTTATCGGCTCGAAGTGCGCCAATAATTTTGACAATACAAAATTCAATTGAAGAACGATAATAAAAGTGCCTTTTTGATGGCTGCACATAAGACTCTCCGTACAAAGCGCATCCTTTGCAAGGCCATGAAGGTCAACCGCCCAATGCCACAGTTCATCCGCCAAATGACTGGCGTTCGCCACATCCGTAACCCACTCACACGCCACTGGCGCAGAAGGAAGATGAACATCTAAGCGTCATCGTATTAGATTAAAGCAAGAATGTTATTTAGCATTCTTTCATACTTTTATACAAATTTTTTTAAAGAAAAATAACCTTCATCAATTTATAAACTCAAATGGAAGGTATAATCTATTAATTTGATTACAAGGTCTTAAATTGTTTGTGATGTAAGCAGATAAAAACCATTGAAATACTTTCATATAAAATAATTCTTTAATTTTTGATTTCTCTTATAACATCATGGTATACATATATGAGTTTTCATTATTTTTATGATTTATGTATTCCTCTTACTATTGTCCCTTAGGGAATGAGAAAAATAATCAAAAATTGATATGAATTTGTAATATGCTTTATTTTAAAGAAATGTATAAATAGCTTATGGTGTTAAATCTATGTTCACTATCAATTTTGCTTTAAATACGCGTTTTTGAGAGTTTTTGCGGTATTAGAATTTAGGTGTTCAAATAAAAGCGCCAATAATCGGTTTTACACGTTAAATTTTTTCAGAGAAAATGACTTCAGCAATGCGTGAACTCGCTGCGATTTCGCACGACATTCGTAAAATCGGATTCAGAAAGCTTCCTCGCAATATCGAGCGTGCTGCTGTAATTTTCATGCGCGGAAAGTCACATTTAAATCTCGAAGGATCAAAAGAAAGCCTCAAATTCGGAAAACTTGCTAAATACATGTACTGTGAAGTTTTTGTAATGACAGATGCTACAGTCGATGACTTCATCGAAGTTATGCGCCACTTCGTTACAGAAACAAAGCAGGTTTTGCTTTGCTTCACAGTTGCTAACAAAGTTAACGATAAATCATCTACTGGTCCAACAGAAATTCCATTTGTTGGTGGCAGTGTCGATCCAGAATTATTATTCGATTTAGGTAACTCAATCCAAGCTGGCGTTAAATTATTCTACTTTATTGATGGTATCAATGATCCAAAGAACTGGGATCCTAAGGCAAATGGTAGCACAAAACCAGGTCTTTACTTCATGGCACCTTATGCAGATACTAAAGCGACTGATATCATCCAATTTGATTCAAACCAGGAGGGATTCTTCTCATTACACCTTAACAAAGTCATTAAGGCCTTCCCAGAAGAATCATTCGGTGAAATCGCTCGTGTCTTAGAAGAACAGATCGAACCATTCGGTCTTAAGGTCTTTGCTGCTGCAAACCCACCATCTGCTTTGTCTGAAAAAGAATGCTTCGTTTAAATTATTTTTGATTTATATAAAATTAATTACTTTTTAAAATAGACATTAACATTATTCTTTACAATGTAACGTTTACATATCTAATATAGCCTGAGTATTTCAACTAAATTTATTCAAAATAATTTGCTGCTATTCAACAACTTTTGGGCGATATCTCGATTTGACATTAAAGTTTGATGATAGAAAAAAGTTGTTGAACACTATTTGGCAAACGAAGGTCCTATGTTAAGTCAATTAATGGAGATGTTTTGGTGTTTCTCTCTAGTCATATAAATTTACCAGAGGAAATTGACTATTGTAATATATGCACATGTGTACAAACGTATATATTGAGTATATTTACAGTGAATGAAATCAAAATTCTCTCAGTGAAATAAGGAAACTAAGAGTGCAAGAAACTAATGTTGGCTGTTAAAAATGTAATAAAGGTACTATTATCTAACTAACGAACATTTTTACCTATAATACTCAATCATATTTTAAATAATTAAAAATTGAGTATGAATAATAAACAAATTTACTAACAACAAGTAATATATGAAAAGATCATTTTCTTTTTTCATCCAATTGTTTCAATTTCTTTTCAATCATCTTCTGGAATGGCTCATCTGTCTTTGGTTTCTCTTTTACGAGTTTCTGAAATGCAGCAACACCGTATACTTCACCTTGTTCACCGAATTGGCCGCCCACACCAAACGCAACTTTTTGTCTTTTCTCAAGTTCTTCGTTCAATCCGAATTTCTTCTTTCTTGCCCTTGCTTGTCTTCCACCTCTTGTCTTCTTTGAAACGATTTCTGGAGGAGGGATTGGTCTGACGTATTTTGGTGTGAAGTTATTGATCTTTTTATCGAGTTTTTCTTTGATTTCGAACAATGATTTTTCTCCAAAAGATCCATCTGGATTTCCTTTTGATGCATCTACACGACAGCAAAGAGCAACTTTATCGGCAAGGTTCCTAAATATGGAATCTCTGTATTCTGGATCTGTTTGCTGTACAAGTTCTGATGTATAAATGATTCCTTGGTGATTTCCAATATTTCGTGAAGAAAAACCAAGTAAAGCTGATTTATTTGATCCGAAAGTTTTGATATTGCATGATGGTATTTGTGATAATTGCTTCAAACCACCTGCATGTGTAATTAAAATCGCAGAAATTTCAGGACCAACGAGAGCACACATGTTTGGTGCGAACATTTCAACGCATTTGGTACATATTTCGGATAATTGTGTGGAAACATCAGAAGCGGCTATTTGTAAGTCACAGGCTTCTTGAAAATCTTTTGATTCTATTTCTGGACCTAATTGTTGTTGTAATGATAATGTACAAGCAACAATCTGTTGTGATGTGAGGAATTTCCTGATGTCCTCTGATTCTATTTCGTTATGAGTTGCTAAATGTTTTGCTAAAATGGCGTATGGTTTGTAATCTGTTACAACTGATGCTAAATCTGCGAATCTTTCGTGAAAAGTATTAGTAAGAATTGAGTGTAACTGTTTCCTAAGTTTTAATAATGTAGATGCATATGTTAACGTTACCATTGATCCATCAATTGATGTCGGTGGGGCTTTTGTGTACTCCTGGATGACTTCTTGAAGGTGATCAAGATTCATTTCGTCTCGAATTGCTTTGATCTGAGACGAAAAATCCATCACAACTTTTATAAACTTGACATATCGAAATATCGAATCGTATTTATTTTTGAATTTTTGTCAAAGATTTTTGCATTATTGTGAGTTCATCAAGGTTTAGAATAAAATTAAATCGGCACAAATAGTATATTTTTACAATATTTTGTTTTTTATATGAAATTATTGCAAAAATATCATGCTTTTATGCATAAATATTATTTTTGATGGTAATAATGAATAAATCAAAAAATTAATGTTTTCAAATATAATGATTTAGATCTTTAAACATATATGCAATGAATGAAAACAAAACTTTATTATGTACGAGTAATATTAAACAAGATAATAAAACTAATTATTTTGTAGGTGGGGTAATAGCGAACTCATGTAATCTCGGGATGATAGAGTCTGAAAATGCTTTAGCAGCAAGGATCTTGTTAATTTTAGAATTAACTTTTTGCAATTTCAAAAACCAGAGATCTTCTTCCTTCTTTGGTAAGAAAGCAAGCTTTTTCATGCATTTTCTTTGGAAGTATTTAGCATAATCTACAATGTACTTCGTTGCTTTTTTCTTTGAATGGTATTCAATTGCGTTATTCCAAATGAGCATAATATCTGCTTTCCATTCGAATGAATCTGAGTAAGATTTTCTGCTAATTTTGTCTCTAACTGTTGTTAAATCCATTGGATTATGAACAGTTTCGAAATAATCTGGAACTTGATCATTAACTGGATCTACAGGATATCTGAACAAAATAGAGAGTGGGTGATCTAACAAATAATTTGTAAAGTCAAGCGAGAATTTTTCCTCGATTGAATTCATCAAACATAAAAAGTGACACAAATATCTCAAGATTGCCCAAATCCTCACTATGTTTATTTCTTATCTTTAATGGATCTGTTATCTTAAACTCACTATAATTTATCCTAATCTAAGAAAATATTGGCAATATTTTATTCGAATCTCGAAGCAATACTAAATTTGTAATAATAGAATCACCATACTTGCTCAAGATATCTATAATCATCATAGATTTGTCCATTTGTCTTTGGAGTGAGCGAACTATTCTTGATCTATTTCTCCTAAATAATGGAAAGAGACTTTGAGCTAAACTTTCATAATCAATTATTAACACATCCTCAAAACATTGTAACAACAAATCAGGATTCGGTAAATTTAATCGAACAAATCATTAATTTCCTTTCTAATAAAAACAACTTGAATGATCAATCTAGTGTACAAGGTATTATGCAAATTGTTACACAAACATTGCAAAATATTACTATGCAAAATGAATATTCTCAAATCACACAAAAATATCTTGAAATTATTAGCAACTTGTTAATAGAATTAGATAACAGCCAGTTAACTATCGCTCTACAGCTTTTATTTCCATTAATAAGCGATGATTTATTGAATACGTCAATTTTTTCTGATGATACAATAGTAAAACTAGCCATTATCATTCAAAATACTGAAGGTATAGAGTTTGACAACCAAATATATCAAATACTTCGAAAAATATTGAAACAAGACACTTCAAAACTTAAAATACTTCAATCATCAGGGATTTATGACTTTATTTATTCAACAATCATATCTAATCCAGACAGAATATCACCAGAAAGCATCAATTTTCTCATTTCTTATTTACAAAATTTAAATGAAAAAGATTCTATACAATCACTCGAAAATCCGATGTATAACCTCATTATATATGCATTTAATGAGTCAAAACAACCAATACTTATAACATCTCTAAAGTTTTTAACTAAATTCTATGAAATATTACCAAATTTTGGAGATTTTGTAGAAAATTTAATAGATCTCATTTTTATTAACATCAAAGCAGTTGATCAGATTACGTTACACAGATTTTTGAAGTTTTTAGTCTTTCTTGAAAATTCGAATTTATTTTTGATTCCAAACTTTGATAATTTTGATCTATCATTTTATTTTGATGCTATACAACACAAAGAGAACAATATTTCTGCTTATTCTTCAATTTTTCTTGCAAAATTATTCAAATTTTATCCAGATTTTGCTGATTATTCAGTAGAATCAGGGGATATCATGAAAGCTAATGATGCAATATTCACATCAAGCTTTAATGATCGCTTATCATCAATAGAATTAATTGCTTCTGCAATAATCAACATAAAAGATCCATCAAAGCTTGAAATATTCTATGACGAAGATTTAATTCAAGAGCTAATCAATATAGATGATGTGGACAACACAAAATTGGTCTCTATCCATGCAAACGCTGCTTTAATGAGATTATTGTCTAATGGAGATGAACATCCAGACATTATGGAGCTCATTGCGTCACATGTTATATGCGATATAGATGAAATATCTGTTTCTGAAGAATTTTCTCTTAATATTAATTCAAATTTAGATTTGATTGAAAAAGAAGAATCAGAGTTCACAAACAAGAAGTAATAATAATTTTAAAACAACATTTCTCAATAAATCTAAACTTTTTTATTTTCATAATTTTTTTTATCAAAAATTAGCATTTATGAACAGATTATTCATTAAAATTCAATATGAATACCAAAAAGGTAATGATATTGATTGCTTTTACTATTATATTGCGTAATATGAAATGAGTAATTAAATTTCCTATAAAAATTATAAGAATCAATGTTTATATTTACCAAATGAGTGAAATGACAATTTTATTCATTGTCTTTCATATAATAAAAACGTATCTATTTACTTTTATGTTGAATATTATAGGAACAGTTCTTCTATTGTAGATTCCTGAAAATCCATGTTAAATGGATCACTGTGTTCACAATCATCCATTGTAGTTGTAAAAATAGGGTTGTCGATAGTAACATCAGTAATAACTTCTCGTGGTATTACTGTTTCTTCGGGAATATCTTCAACTTCATTTGTTGATTCAGAAAATTCTGGATTGGAAGTTTTCTTATGAACCAAAACAAATATAATAAAGATGGTAACCAGAAGTAAAATCCCAAGGGATATCCCAACAATTATCCATATTAAAGATTTGTTTTTTGTTGATTTAACACTTGATGCATTTTCTGCTCCACTTTGAATTGTGGATGATGGATTTTTGCTAGAAGTAGAAGTTGAAGAAAATGGATGAATGCCTTCTGCAATTGGGGTTTCAATCAAAGTGTTTGAAATTGTTTCATATACAGTTTCAATAGGTGTTTCAGATATGGTTTCAATTTTGGTTTGGGCTATAGTTTCACTTATTGTAATTTTTGGTGTTTCATGTATAGTATCAATTGGTGTTTCATGTATAGTATCAATTGGTGTTTCATGTATAGTATCAATTGGTGTTTCATGCATAGTATCAATTGGTGTTTCATGCATAGTATCAATTGGTGTTTCATGCATAGTATCAATTGGTGTCTCATTGATGGTTGCAAATGCTGTTTTGTATGCTGTTAAATGAGAGGATGTTTTATTGTCGTCTGGAAAAAGTGACAAAATTATTATTGTCGTCTAAAAAGGTGACAAATTATTATTGTCGTCTGGAAAAGTGACAAAATTATCATTGTCGTCTAAAAAATAGATTTTTCAAGCATGTTTCGGTACCTAAATAAAGGAAGAACATCAATTCCATCTATGGATATAGTATGCAAACACGCATGATATATGGAGTAGCTCTTTATCTGGCTAAAAATCCTATTATTTGAAAATTCGCATTGTCGTCTAAAACCGCCAGACGACAATAATAATACCCCGTTAAATGAGGTGTATTAAATGGAGTTTCATGCTCTGTTTCTTCTAGGGTTGGAATTTGAGTTTTTGATAAAGTAAAGAATGGAGTCATAAAAATGGTTTCTTTTTGTGTTAAAATTGGAGTCATTGGCAAAGTTTCACTTGGTGTAATAGTAGGAGTTTGGTAAAGCGTTTCGAAAGGCGTATCCAATTGTGTCGATGATACTGCTGCAATTGGCGTAATGAAAATAGTTTCCATTTCTGTATTAAATGGTGTCATCTCCGCAGTTTCTTTGTCCGTATAGAATGGAGTAGAATCAAGTGAACTTAAAGGAGTTGTCGAAGGCGTTTTATCTATTGTAGGAACAGGTGTTTCAACTAATGTAAATATCAATGTCTGAAAAGGAGTTGATATTACAGTTGAAAAAGGAGTTAAAGAAAATGTATCTAAAGGAGTATCGTACATAGTATATGAGAAAGTATCATATGGTGTCATAAATTGAGTTTCGCATGGTGTATCAAAAATTGTATCACTTGGTGTTGAAAATTGTGTTTCAATTGGGGTTTGTCTTGGAGTTTCAATTACAGTATTTTCCACTGTTGAATACGGTGTGCTGATTGGTGTTGTATATGGAGTGAAACCATTGGTTTCAAATGGAGTTATATTAGGGGTTTCATGTGGTGTTAGATAAAGAGTTTCAAGTGGGGTTTTATTGGGTGAATTAAATGGAGTTTCAATAGGAGATTTTTCTGGATATTTAATTTTGGCTTTGCATTGCAATGTTTCAAAGAAAGTTATTTTTTCTGTTTTCCATGTGGAACCAACAATTGTTGGATATCCAGACACATATCCAGCAACTACATATGTATTAGTATTCATATTATTTGCAACAAGAGTACCTATATCAATTCTTGCTGAATCAGTAAAATATGTTAATCTTGTGCATTTAAATACATTCTTTTCAAATATATTGTCTAAGAAATTACAGTAATCAATAGTGATTTTCGCCGTATGAGAAAAATTGAGAAAAATAATTGCAAACCAAGACACATTATTTCCAACAAAATTACATCTAGTGATATAACAATTGCCTTCTGACCACCAACTATGAATCAAACTATCTCTACTATTACATTTCTCAAAATTGCAGTATTTAATAGAGTAATCCGTTCCGCAATGAAAATAAAATGCTCCTTGGGAAATATCATTCCAATCCCCCTTAGTATCTGCTGTAATATCTGTAGAATTCCAATTTGATACAATTGGACCGTTTCCATCCCTAATATAAGATGTTCTGTATCTACTTGAACAAGACACCATCGAACAATATGATAAATTAAACTCAGACCAGATTTCAAGCAACCAAATTCCAGCTTCTGTAGTGGCGCTACAATGATATAAACATATAAATTTCATATTAAGATTATAGCTGACATCGTTTGAGCCTGTAATTGTAACAGAACCACCGCTCTGTGCTATACATCCAATGAACGAACATCTAAACAAATCTATATAATATGAACTTGTGCCGTTTGTGAGACTAATTGATGAACTTGATGTTGAAGTTCCAATATTTTCAAAAACACAGTTTGAAAAGTAATAATTGTCTCTAAGATTCGTATAAGAAGAAGAAAATATATTTGTAAAATCTCGTTCCTCTTCTTCATGTGCCCTAGCAATAGTGAGAAAGGAAAACATTATTTTTAATAGTTATTCTTAATTTCATTTCTATTTCTTTCAATTAAGAAAAATTGAGTCCCTAGAGGAGTGGGGGACAAACTCGCCCATTGTCACTTTTTCATTAACCTTAAACTTGTAATTTTCGTTATTTTTAATTAACCTTATTTCTTTCCCAATTCCTGATTTATTTTATTCACTTACTATTAAAAGTCACATTTTAATAAAATATAATAATTTATTTATAGCATTTTTTACTATACTGTAATAAAAAATTAATTATAATAAATTAAATGTTTATTAAATCAAATGTTTTCTTTGCAATAATATTTTTAATGTTGAGTAAACAATGTTGGGATCAAGTGTATCATTTTCCAGACCTTTCTGAACAGCTTCAAGCATACTGATGCATTCGACTTTTTTAAATTGTGTCATTTCTTCGAAATCTCTTGTGACTTTTTTGATAACTTTAACACTTCTCTCTGAATCCAGACCTTTAATTTGCAACTTAATCAGGAATGAAGGAACAACACTGGAATATAACTCGATGACAAGTTCATCGAGTCGAAGATTTCGCCTTTCTGGGAAGTACTGGTGCTTCAAAACCTTGAAATGTGATTCCGAGATGTTGTTTGTTCCATCTCCTTCATTTCTATAGCGAAGCATCCACCTGTCAAGATGATGGCGCCACTGTCGGTCAAAGTATTCACGGTAGCAGGTTCCTCATTTAAAATTTCTTCTAAATTGTTGTAAACTTCATCAGGATCAATTTCTTCCTCTTCAGAACCAAAGACCAATAACTTCATTAAGTTATAGAAAGTTTCGAAGTTGGAACGATCTTGAAACTTTTCAGCCTTTCTCATGACAGCGCGCAACACATGAACGCCACACCAAATGATCTGGCATAAGGGGATGGCTGTTTCAACAGCATTTGTGATTTGAGGTGCGCAGTCCATTGAAAATAAGATGGTTCGCGATTGATGGAGCCAAAATATGCTGTGAGACAAACTTGTATATTTTCACTTGTGTCGGGCCAAACGAAAAAATACAAAAACGGAAAAACAATTGATTCCGCGAATTTGCCAGTGGCGGCATAAAATGGTATGCGCGAGCGCAAGAGCTTATAAGTGGAATCAATGTGATAAGTTTGTATTTGATGTGAAAAAGCATTTGCTTCGAATGGGGCGTAATAGAAAATCATACGATCTGGCTCGTGAATAAACTCGATGAGATCATCCGGAGAATGACTCTTAACCATGTCGACAAAAATTGCAAGAGATGTAACATCATCCGCTGAGAAACGGGTATTGATTGCATGAAGGCGTTTAGAAAACTTTTTTAAAGCATCTGTAGATTGTTGAAACATTTCCGGAATGATCCCACTATCAAATGGGATATTAAGATCTTTGAAACACCTTAATTGTGCGTAAACACGGTCTTGATTTGATTCAAAATATCTTGTTAAATAAGATCTATAAAAATATGATGTAATTTGTTGTGATTTGTTTGGAAAAGGGGCAGAATGATTGTGGGTGTTAATACATTTTCGTATGTGGTACTTGTCATCGGAAGTGTATCAACAAGGAAGCGACATGGACAATTCGGCAACTTACAATTAAATTGGATTTGATTTCTTTCTTTCCTAGTTTTATATGAATAACTACAACCTGCTTGGATTTCTTGTTGCACTCCATACTTAAGCAACTCGATATATGTGAGTTCGTGATCTTGGATCTGCATTAAAAAAATGATTTGAAAGAATAAAGAATTTTGAATATATTGGTCTTATTTTGATAAGCTTGGTCGTGTTTTGAATAGCTTGGCCATCTAATTCAATTATGATCTTTGAAAATTAGGTGAAATAAAACTAAACATAAATGTAAAACTAGGGATATGAAATTTTGGTTGAACACCACTTGTATGTGCCGGATACCATTGTGTCAAATTTTTTCTGAAATTAACTTTAAAAGTACTACGTAAGATCATGAGATATAGCAATATATGTTTAAACCAACTTATATTTTGGTTGTACACCACTTGTATGTGCCGGATACCATTGTGTCAAATTTTTTCTGAAATTAACTTTAAAAGTACTACGTAAGATCATGAGATATAGCAATATATGTTTAAACCAACTTATATTTTGGTTGTACACCACTTGTATGTGCCGGATACCATTGTGTCAAATTTTTTCTGAAATTAACTTTAAAAGTACTAAGTAAGATCATTTATTTTTGCATAATATAATGCCAATATGGTTTCTTTTGATTTTATTTCATTTATAAGCAAATCAGATTTACCCAAAAACTCCACTCCATAAGCGTTCATTTGCTAAATTAAAAAGTGACAATGGGCTAGTCTGTCCCTTTCTCGTCCCTAGAGATAAAATCCTTAAGTTATTTATCTATTTAAAAAGAAGAATATATAATGTAAAATTTAACATATTCAAAAATAAGTTATCAATTAAACCATTCAAAAGAATTAAAGGAAAAAAGTACTGTTTGTCTCTGTATGACTAAATGCAAAAAGATATTTTTAATTACACAAAAATGAGTAATAAGCCAGATTAATCGTAATGCTGCGAATAATCAAATTATGTAATGTTAGAAGCCATTTTAGTTTAATACCTTTTTGGCACAAATGATGCAAATTTACATCATAAAACTCTCAAAAATTCATAAACCTTTCCCAATTATAAATGTATTTTATTTCTTGGTACATATTACATATCATATTGCAACTTCAAATGCAGTGAATGCAATTTGAATTATTATTCTCAATTTTAATAATGCGGAAAATTCAATTCTTTTGCAATTTTTGAAAGTGACACATTCAAAATAAGTATTCAAGTCAGCAATTAGTGAAATCATGCAAATGAACTATTAGATACGTCATTTAATGTTAAAGCTTTAGTTTCTGTTATAAGATTATAATCGCAACATTTTTTTGTTTATAAAGAATATAATATAAAATATTAGGTTGTAAACTGATATAGACAAATAATTAAAGATTTACCTTATTTTTTTAGTTTTAATTAAATTCAGATTGTTCAATTACTGAAAAAATAACTCCATACAAGACGAATTTTTGAAAACAACAAGGTAAACTTTAAGAACACAATTACCTTGCTTGATGTAAAAGATCAGCTCTGAAATTTACACTTTTCCGACGTTTTGTCAGGGGCGCGAAGCGACCCAAAAATGTCGGAAAAGTGTAATTCTCAGGTATATGATTATTTTTGCTTTTAATACCGAACAGCATTTGAATCAAAAATAATCGTATGTCTGAGAATTACAATTTTTTTGCGGGCGTTTTCCACTCAATTTTTGAGAAAGGGGGCGCCAAAATTTTGATTCTTTTGATCTTCAATATATATATATTCACGCTTAGACAGTTGTAAAAAATTTTTGTAAATTTAGGATGAAAAAATTTGGAATTTTGGAATTGAAATGTTTGGCAAATTTTGCTACTTTTTATTATTTTCTCGTAAACGAAAAAGAGAATTTGACGCAGTCAAATTCTCTCTCAAAAAGTGGACTTTACATGGCAAATTTCAAATGCATGTAAGGTCCGCTTTGATCAGTTTCAGGATGGAATTGGAGGCCATGAGGTACTGACATTGCATCAGTATCTCATAGCCTCCAATCCCTTCAAAAAACGGGAGAAACTTTGGTCGAATAATTTAACATTCGCCAAAGTTTTCCATAATTAATGAGAATGAAAGGGTAGAGGCATATAGGTCACTATATACCTCTTACCCTTCATTTCATTTGGAGGTCAACAAACCCGGAGTTAATTGCAAACAATTAACTCCAAATTTGTTTTGTTAAGGAAGGAATTGGAGGGTAAGAGGTACATAGTATGAATATGTACCTCTTACCCTGCAATTCCTTCTAAAAGTTCCAAAACTTTGGGTTAATTGCAAAACTATTAACCCAAAGTTTGGAACTTTCAAGTGGAGATGGAAGGCTTTGGGTATACATTAATATAAATACCTCAAAGCCTTCCATCTCCACTACAAATGGGAGAAACTTTGTCCGAATAGTTTAACATTCGGACAAAGTTTCTCCCATCTTTCAATGTAATTGCTACCTGTGAGGTACTGACTTGAAGTCAGTGCTTCACAGGTAGCAATATCCAAAAATTTAAAAACATTTTATCAGTTCGTTAGAGAACTAGAGCCTCCTAGGTACTGAACCAGAATCAGTGCCTAGGGGACTCTAGTGATCTATATAAATCTGAGAACCTTTGAGGAAATTGTTCGACATTTCCTCAAAGTTTCTCAGCAATTTAGCGAGGAATGTTCGTTATCGTGTAGATATTTATAATATATACATGATAACAAACATTCCCCGCTAAAAGATGTAAAATCTTATAAGAAATAATTGCAAAAGAATAACAAATTGCAACAAATTTTATATGAAACTGAACCTTATGAGGTAGTGATTCAAGATCACCGCCTCATAAGATTCAGTTTCAATCTCAAGTATCTCAAAAGTAAGGCTCTATTTTTTGCCATGTAAAGTGTCACTTTTCTGTCAAACCGTTTTTATCATTTTCGTTTACAACAATTTTTCCATGGAAAAATGGAACTTTGCTGAACTTATGGAAATCAACAAAGATTATATTGATGCATTTGATTCACTATACAGGCTAAAAACGTTCGATAGTGATAAAATCGACCAAATTTACAACAAAATCAAAAATGTATTAATAGAAAGTAAGATGTTTCCACCATCCATTATTTGCGAAATCATATCATCAATTATCAAATACAATAATCGCTACTTAAAATCATATTGGGCCCTATTCAAAAAAATTTATGAAGAATATCAACCAAAAGACATCAAACATGTTTCTTCTGTATTTGACTACTTTGTCTTTAAAGAATATGGAATTGTATTTAACGAGAGTCATAAAGACAAATTCAGAAATTATGAATCTCAAAATCTTTCATTGGAAGTTCATGAAAAAAACACAATTTACAGGGCCATTATGGAAGATGACTTAATATCATTTATCATGTTCACAGAACGAGATGGATTTGATGACCAGCAGAAGCTAAAAAATAAGTTATATAAACATGGCTTTCGTCATTATTCATTACTTGATATATGTTGTTATTACGGATCTGTTAACTGCTTCAAATTGTTAAGAACGAAATTCAATTCAAAAATAACAATGTCCTCTCTTGAATTTTCATTTTTGGGAGGAAATCCAGATATAATGAGCGAATGTTTGAAAGTTCAAAAACCACTTTTAAGTTCCACTGAATATGCAATAGTTTCTCATAACATCGATTTCATTTCTTTTTTGGTTAATGAATATCGATTAAGTATTAATCTATATTTATGCTGTGATTATTATAATCTTCCTGCATTTTTAATGTATTGTGATCAAAAGCATTTAATTGGATCCTGCTTCGTTTTATCTCCAGCTTTTCGTAATTTGTCATTTTGCGATTATTTACTTTCACATTATTCAATAAATATTAACAATAGGGATTGGTCTGGACGCACGGTCTTAAACACAGCAATATTGTATAATGTTAAAGAGGCTGTAGAATTTTTAATTTCACGCGGAATTGATGTCAATTTATACTACAAAAATAGCACCAATTATCTTCAATATGCTGCAACATATAATAGAAAAGAAATAGCAGAAATTCTAATTTCTCATGGCATTGACATCAACATGAAAGATTCCCAGGGAAAGACAGCTATTCATTATGCTGCTCAATGTGGTGGCAAAGAAACACTCGAATATCTGATTTCGCAAGGTATGGATATCAATGAAAAGGATCTGACTGAATCCACACCTCTCCTTGTATCAGCCGAGAAGAATTCAACAGAAACAGCTGTTGTTCTTATTTCTCATGGAGTCGATGTCAATGCTAAAAATGAACTTGGGCAATCAGCTCTTCATTATGCAGCACATTTTAATAATACAATAATAGCTGAGGCACTCATTTCACACGGCGCTGATGTAAATTCTAGAAATTTAGAACAGGAAACGCCTCTTCACATTGCAGCAAAAGGAAATAGTCAAGAAATGATAAAATTCCTTGTTTCAAATGGTGCTGATATTAATGCAGAAGCTAACTCTTATAAAACTCCACTTGATTATGCAAAGAAATCATTTGAGGATGCTGCAAATCTCTTGATTTCTCTTGGGGCTGATGACGCATTGTATTTTGATGATTTCGCAGGTTTACTTGAGCCACCTTTCTAATGCTATGCGTATCTACACTCAAGATTGCAAATTTTATATCAAAAAGTAATATTTAAACTACTAATCATTTTACAAACAATAAACAATTAATTATAATGAATCAATTATTTCAATACATTGAGGAACTCTTCCAAGTCTTGCTTGGTCATTAATCATTGACAAAGTCTCAAAAACGTTCTCTGATTCAGCAAGAACGCGAAGTTGTTTCGGTTCTGCTTTATCAGAAATAAATCTAAATTCTTTGAAGTTTCCGTTTGCAACAGATAAGGAAAATGCCATTGTTGTCTTGTTGCTTTGAACACAGAGTGTAAGAAGAAGATCTCTATTAACTCTTCTCAAAGCTCCTGTTTCTGAAAACAGAGAAATCCAATCTCCATGAGGACTTCTTATTGCTTCAGACAATGGAGAAGTTCCTGAAAAGTTTTGGACCATGACATCGGCGCCATGCTGCAATAATAATCTTGATGTTTCTTTTTTACCGTTTTTCATGGCAAATAATAGTGGAGTATTACCATTAATTGAATTCCTATCATTAATATCTGCACCTCTTTTAAGTAATACCTTAACAAGGGTCTGAAGTCCTCGATGTGCAGCCACATGAAGAGCTGTGCTTCCATTGCTACGAGTTTCGATGCTGGCTCCACCATTAATAAGTGCAAGAGCAATTTCTCCATGGCCGCTTCTCATTGCATAATGAACTGGATAATCTTCGCCGTCAAAATAGTTTGGATCAACACCTGCTGCCAAAGCAAATTGAATTCCAGCTAAATCATTGTCATCTATCATCTGGAAAAATGTTTCTGGAGTTACATTTTTAGGAACGCTTTTTGGAAGTAAATAACTGGACAATGAATCATATCCTCTGAAATCAGCATAGTCTAAAGCTCGTGCTCCACCTGCATCTTCTATTGAGGCGTCAGCTCCAGACTTTAATAAAATGTCAACTACTCTGTCGTGACCATTCATTGCAGCATGATGCAGGGGAGTTTCTCCCATTTGCGTTTGTGCGTTTGGATCTGCACCAGAATCTATTAGTTGCTCAACGATTTTTATACTTCCAATTCGAGAAGCAATATGCAAAGGGGTTACACCCTTTGAATCCGCAATATTTGGATTAATACCCATATTTAATAATTGTCCAACTGATCTAAAATCTCCTCCTTCGCAGGCAAGAAATAATGATGAAGGATCAATTCCACCTCTTCTCATCATTATGAAAGAATTCTCATTAATTTTAATTTAAAACACCATAAAGTGTATATGCAAGATCTGTTGAATATGCCAATCGCTAATTTTTTTAAAATAATTGATAAATATGGACAATATCAAAATTTTTATACATAAAATAGACTGTTTTCCAATGTTAAATATTAATCGCACACAATCGAACTAATTCTGAGAATTTTTTTGCATAAAATTTTATTTGAATTAAAATTGCGGCTTGACATTCTCAAAAAATGTACGTCCGGCCAAAAATTATACGGTGACTTTTCCATAATGAGGATATCAAGAAAAACAAATTTCTCCAATAAAATTGAGCATGCGACCAAACAGCTATCAAATTGAACGCCATATTTGGTAGAACGATTAACTTCCAAAAAAATTTTCTGACATCAATTTTTTCTTTAACAATTACACATCCCGTCCGCACTCCACACTTTTCTACGATCTTAGACAAGTACAACATTATCGAAGAAATAGGAAGTGGTTGCTATGGAGACGTAATGAAAGCAATTGATCCAAAGAATGGTGATATCGTAGCAATTAAGAGGGTTAAAGTATTCAATTCATCACAATCACTTCCTCAATCATTCTATCGCGAAACTTCAAATCTTCAGCACCTTAAACACGAGAACATTATCAATTTACGAGAAGTATTTCGACCATCTAACAGTAATGTTCCATATATGGTATTTGATTATTGTGAGTTTGACTTAGATGGTCTGATTCACAACAGATATTCAAATGGTCTTGATAATAAGACAGTCAAATCTTATTTCAAGCAAATATTGACAGCAGTCAAATTTTGTCATGATAATAACATTATACATAGAGATCTAAAACCATCTAATATCTTTGTTACACGTGATAACGTTGTAAAACTTGGAGATTTTGGATTATCACGTGATCTTTCAAAAGGCAGTCCACGTATGACTCTCAATGTAGTTACTCCAGGTTATAGAGCTCCAGAATTAATCTTAGGCAACAGTGAATACGATACATCTTCAGATATTTGGTCACTTGGAACAATTCTCTTTGAAATGATTACTGGTGTACCACTTTTCAAGCCACTTACATCATCAGATATCTCACAATTGGCTTCAATTGTCTTTGTGATGGGAAAGCCAAATCCAGATGAGATTTCTCCAAAGTGTGCTAATTCCAACATCTTGAACATGGTTAGCAGAACATCAGGTGTTCCATTTGAAGATTTCCTTCGTGAAAATCTTCAAGGCGAAGCAGCTGCTGCTATTCCTCTCATCTTCTCTATGCTCAGGTATAATCCTGAAGAGAGAATTTCGATTGAAGAAGCTTTGTGCTCTTCATTCTTTGATGATGAGGACATGTTCAAACTTCCGCAGATTCCATTTGCGGAAACTCATTCTATTAATATCCGTAATGATTACGCCACCATCTGTGCACCTGTAATCTCTTCACCAATGAGACCATTAAGAGTTCAATTGGTTCCAATTTCAGTTGCTTAATATAATATTATTTGTTTTATGGACTTCGTGTCCAAATTGTTGTTGCTGGTTTTTTAAACCAGCTTCATTAATTGCTTATTTGTTAAAAGTTACCTTCTATCTATATATTTTAGCTCTCATTTGTATTTTATGCAATAATATGACTATGTATTTGAAAGAACATTCTCCAATCGCTTCCATATATTTTGAAAATTTATAAATATGCTTCTATTTGGACATAATATCAAAATTACCTAGAAACATGGCCATGAAAAATCTAATACTTCAGTATCAGTATTGAACGCGGCTGTGTGATAAATAGCAATTATCATTAATGAATATTTGATGGTGAAAATATCTTTTTCATAACTATTGCATGAATGATTATATCCTTTCTTAATTAACCATTATAAACGTAATATTTTTTTCTTGAGTAGGGGTAATTTTAGCTAAAAGTGACACACATGTAAAAAGTGACACACCCATGAAGGGTGTGATTACCGATCGGTAATTTCGACAGTTTAGAATTTAAAATTTTTTATGGAACTGTTGCGAGTTTCATAAAGAATTTAAGGAATATAAGCAAAGATTTGAATCAAAATCTTAGACCTAAGCCGCTAGATTCGCTCGCGGCTTTCTTTATTATTTTAAATTTGCATATTTCCATCAAAAGTTCATAAGGTAAAAAATTTCGTTTATATTATTGCAAAATAAAATCTTCATTATCAAAATAATATTAAATAATAATATAATTTATAAACAACTATTATTTAATAAAGTTTAATTGCCAAGGTTCATCTAATTTTTTGATTTTTAATGTTTTATGAATTTTATTTATCATGTATATATCTAATGAAGATTATATATGTAGAAGATAAGTACCTTAATATGTACGTAAATTTTAATGAAATTTATACAACATTATAAAAATTTATGAATAAAAACTTGATATAAAATAACATTTTTATTTTTACTAAGAAAAAAAAAGGTTTTTGATAATAAATTTATTTTATTTCGAAAAAGTAGCAATAATCGTAAAAGGGTATTGATAGGCTTGCTAAAGTAACTAATTTTAGCTGTCAAATACTTTTGTATTTTGAAGTAAATTAGTATAAATTTGTTTTTACTTTTATTTCGAAAAAGTAGCAATAATCGTAAAAGGGTATTGATAGGCTTGCTAAAGTAACTAATTTTAGCTGTCAAATACTTTTGTATTTTGAAGTAAATTAGTATAAATTTGATATTATTTTAACTCCCTTTGAAAACATCAATTTTCCATACAGAGGGAACGGGAATAGCATCCAATATTCCCTGAGAATGGTTGCGCATTCTCAGTTCCCTCTATATTTCGAACGAAGCTCTCATCGGTCTTTTTTTTTAATACTAAACGTTTTTTCCCCTGTCACTTTTAGCTAAAATTTGGGTTTGCCTTTTTTTCTTTACATTTAGGACCACAATTTTAAATTATTTCCATATAGGTATAAACATGAAGATAAATATTTATCATGACTTTTCAATTCATTTTCAATCGTTTATTCAAAATGATTGATTCAATTTGATTTTACATAAAAGCATCATGTATGATTATTTACGATTAAAAATATTTGATTCAAAATTCAGAAAAAAAAGAATTGGCTATCAAAAAAAATAAAATTTTATATAAAAAAATTATAAGTTCTTATCAACCTATTCATAACATAAATTTCCTATCATCTTGGAATATTTTATTTTTCAATATTTTACTTCTCTCAAAATTCGATAACGAATTGAATTAAATAATTTCCGCCCAAATAAATGCCACACAATGCGGAAAATATAATAAAGTATATACTAAACCAGAAAGATTTTGTTCTTGATAAGTTCATGAGCAAGATGTTTCCAGAGTTTTGGAAAAATATGCTCGATTATGCAAGATATATAAATACAAAAATCCTTAAATACAAATTTCAAAAGTCCTACACATTTAAATATGAGAAAATAGCTCAAGCTCTAATGACTGTTCTTCCTAAAATCAGAATTAGAGGCTATTCAGCTGATAAATTAACAGATGCCGATCATTTCTTTGCTATGATGTTCCATCCAGAATCTCCTGAAGATACTCGCCAACTATTCCAACCGACTTACTTGATGTTCCTTGAAACTTGTAATTCGAGTGAACTTCAATTCTTAAAATACTCATTTAAATATTATGTACCAATTCCATTTCTTGCTACTGGAGAAGATGGAAAAGCTCTCATCGAATCTTTCATTGATAAGCAAACAGATAAAATTCTGACAGATCCAAACGCAAAAGCAAACATTCAATGCAACGTTAAAGCATGCATGAAAACACTTTTGATGTGGCTTCTTAATAAATGGGATAAGGTCTCATCAAATGTAATGCAACTTTTCATCGAAAAGATATTGAGTGCAGCGTATCCAACAGAAGCAGAGAAAACAGGATGGGAATTACCGCAATATCGCCTGAAAAATCAACTTCCTTCCGATGTTCATGAGGTTCTTTGCAAATTCTTCGTAGATCTCTTCTCTGAAGAGCATAACTTCGTAGCTCTTCTTATTGATAAGAAGAAACTATGCTTTATTGTCGAATTACTCGCATCGTCATTAACAAACGTATCTCAAGATTCTACAAAGTATTCAATTCAGGCATTTGCCGCTATCCAACGTATGGCAGGTTTAAGTGAAGGTTTTCAAGCTGCAGGCCTGACAAAGAAAATATGCCATACTACAATCGACCTTTTCAATACAAATCCAATCCCATCGACTGGAGCTCTTCTTTCAGAATTTGGATTTTGGCTTTTCCGTGATAAGAAAGTTCATCCAGTTGAAGTTCGCGCGAAAAATTTCACAATAACTCTCGATTACGCAAAGAAAAACGACTACGCTGCATCAATCATCTTGGGATCTTTTATTTCGAGTGGATTGGTCAGTGGCGAAAAGGAATCGAAAATTTGGGATTGTTTAGTATACGAAATCTTCATAAACAAATTATTTTCTGCCACAGCAGCTAAATACATGCAATTAATCGCTACTCTTCAGTTCCCAAGAGTTCTCGATATTAATAAAGAAACGATCGTTGATGAATGCACAACAACTCGCCACAAATACATCCGAAATAAAATTTCTACATGGAATGATATTGTATGCAAAAACATCAGGGAAATTCTTGATGAACCTGCAAAATTTGCTCAAAATAATATGACCATCGAATGGCCAAGCTTTGAAAAGTACGATGCATTTTTAAAGCAAATACCATACACTCCATGCGCTGATTTTAAGACTGAAACTGAAGAAATCAGGACAACAACTGATCTCTTTCTTTCATCTCTCGATAAATTCGGAAAAATGGAAGAAATAAGATGCCATGTGAATGGATTTGCAGTTATCAACTCGTACTACATGGCATTTAACAAATTAAAACTTGTACCTGCAGATTGCCAACATTCCTCTATAAATCCATTCCTAATAGCATCGAGAAGACTTATCAGACATCTTTGTGTTACTCATGAAAACGAAATCTTGAGAAATGGATTAAATACGATTCATCAATTTATTCGTACTCAAGATTTAAAGCTTCATCTTTCTGATCAGTTGCTTACTGACATCTATACAATTATCATCTTCTGCTGCCTTTCAGCTAATGTCAAGACCGCTCAAGTTGGATTTGAAACAGGAGCAACAATGATTGCTATTGGTTATAAAGGATCATCAATGTTAGTTCCTATACTATCGAAAATGATTAAATATAACCCATTCGATAGTGCTTCTGCTGTCACATTTTTCTCATCAGGCGCTGTCTTCAGAACTCCTCATATTCTCGAAGAAAACTTCTTCAACTACTTGAATGAGAAACTTGAAGCAAGAAATAATAAATTAGTCAAGGATTGGAAAGAAATTCTTGTCAAAGAATCAGAATCATCAATCCAAGATGCTGTAAACTCAATAGAAGCAATCTACAAGCTTGAAAACCGCAATCCTGAAAATGTTATTACATTATCAGGTAACTTAATAATCGATGAAATTGTTCAACCGAATCCGAACCCAGAAATAGTATCCAAACTCATATCTTTCATCACAGGAATTGCACAAACCTTCAATATTCCTGCTTTGCAGATGTTCCAAGCTGTTTGTCAGCATGCTTCACAACTTTTGAAGTTTTGCAAAGAAGAATTTTGCAATTCTATAAAAGAAATGGCCAGTATTTCAGATAAAATTGATCTAAAAACAGATCCACAATTCACATTCCTTTTCCTTCAAATAATGATGTCAATATTGGTCACATCTCAAACAGCTGGCAAGAATGGTATCGAGAAATTCGCAGATTTGATAAACAGATTCATTAAAGAAACGAAATTCCCAGCAGACTATCCACCACAGATCCAACAATTCGCAATATCTTCGAGAGAAATGTTAGCGATTTTCTTAGGTGGATATCCTTTCTCAGATCCAGTTATTCCAAGCTCAAGATATCTCAAGAAACCAGAGCAACAACTGACATTGTTGTTGCCAAATGGAGTTTACCTCACACCAGACAAACTCGAAAATGGTGGAACAAGTTTCACTGTTCAAACAAAAGGCGGCCAATTCACATGGGATATGACACCACTTACAAACATCTACGAAGATCACGAAATGCCATTCACTTTTGACAAAGAGAATTTCGTTGAAATTCCAGTTCCTGATAAAACAGGACAGTCAGAATTCAACAAAGCATTTTGTGATAGATTTGATACCGTTGCAGGCACATTTGGCAGAGAATATCACACTGATGTCATGAAAGACGATCAAGAAAATATGACTGAAATGCTTGATACAATCGAGAAATATTACAACAATTTCCTCGATGAATTCCAAGTCAAGCCAGCAGAAAAAATTAGACTGAATGTTTGCGTCGAATTCCCTGTTGCTGCATCATTAAAAGCTCTTGGTATTGTCGAAGGAAAGCAGACAGATATGCTCAAAGAAACAGCAGTAATGATATCAGAAGATGAAAATCAGAAACCACAACAGATAGTTCCTTCAAACAAGATTCCTGAAATTATGCCAAAATTAAACAGATCTCCAACTCCGCCTCCTAAATCTCAACTTAGAGAGCCGCAAAGTGTTCCTAATAAGCCGACATTGACGCCTCACAAGATAATAGGAATATCATCACAGAATTCGACACCAACACTTGAGATGAAATTCCAAGCGAAACATGTCGACACGTTACTCTATAACACGATCAAACAAGACCATCGGCATTGGGAGAAAGCTGCAATCTGTTACATCTCTGATTCTCCGCCTGACCAAACGAAGATAATACAAACAGAAATTGATAAAGTTTCACCTCGATTCAAAGAATTCATAACATTACTCGGATGGAATGTGAAATTGAAAGAATGGCCTGTATACACTGGTGGTCTTGACAATCATAAAGATAAAGATGGCTTGTCATCAATATACACCACAAACTTCGATTACGAACTTATGTATCATGTCTGTCCGTTGATGCCTACTGATCCTAATGATGAACAGTGTATTGACAAGAAGAAACACATTGGTAATGATGCCGTTCAGATATTGTTTGTTGAGAATGAGAAACAAATCGATCCATTAATCATTTCTAGTCAAAGCAATACTGTTACTATCATTGTTTATCCTCTTCAAACAGGTCTATATTCAATTGATACTTATTATCGGTCATCAATTAAATGGTGTGGACCATTAACGAAACCTTTAGTTGTCCGGAAAGAAGCACTGAATTCTCTTATCAATTCAACAGTTCACATTGCAATTATGAGTATAAGATTCGCACAAATGCCATACAATCATCCTTTGCTTGACATTGACAAGAAGATTCAGCAATTGATATCAGAATATACTCAGCCTAAGTATGGAGGTAGAAGTCTATACTTGGACATTTTATTAATGTGATAATCTTTCATTGAAGAAGAAAAACGAATAAAAAATTACTCTTTATTTATTAAGCATTTATACGATATAATGATTTATGATCATGATTCTTCGGCTTTTGAGAACAAAATATAAATTGTAATACTGACGGGTTCAGATGCCGATTTAATGATAAATTTTCAAATGCACAGAAAACAATAAAATCCCTCTGAGCCATTTTTATAATCGGCCACTTTGTTATTGATACAATGGCAAATATGATAGAATTCACAAATCCCCTCAAAAACCAATTTGGAAACAATTTTTTAAATCATTATACAAGAACATACTAAGAACACGTAATTAAATCACACAAAAATTATCAATAACACTTGATCTACATTTCCTAACGGCGTTTTTTTTATAGGTTTTTGGTTGTAATAGATATAGATATTGTCAAACAGTTCGTATTTTTCAATAAAATTTATAGGGACAATTTATACTGTCTTCAAATGACATACCAATGATTTAATTATGGGCATTTACAACCCCCATCATAATATCACAATAAAATCGAAAAAGAATTTCAATACTAACGGAGCTTTCTCAATTTTGTGATGACTAACTTTAAAAATCTGAACGTTCTGCTTTTTGTTTTCAAATTAATCATCATCGTGATGTTTCACCTTTTCATTCATCACTTGTCATCACTAGAACAAAATCGTGAACAATCTTTTGGATTAACATCCAATTTTGCTTCCGATAACAAGTTATCTCAAGAAAATCAACAAAAAAACGTTTTATCAAAAATCTTACTAAATGATGGAGATAGCTATGATGTAACAATTCCACCACCAGATAGTGATGAATATGAGAAGCGTGAATATTTTGATACTGCTGAAGCTAAAACATTTAAAATTTCATCTTCACCCGGAAATATAGCAATTCTTATATTTAAAAATCCAAAAGAATTTACTCTTGAAAATGGAGATCAAATTAAACCATTTTATTCATCAATAAATCAAAATGAAATTATTCTTAAAATAAAAGCATTGAAACTATACACATCGCTTGAATATTATTGGCAAGAATTCACATATTCACCCGATATGTATGTTAATATAATAATGAATGTTGCAAATTTCAGCTATGAATTTCCACAATTACAGAATTTCCACCTAATATATGCATACACTCAAACTGCTGAAATCATGCATAAAGATATTTATTCTGACGGCAAAAGTAATGGAGGTGGAACGTTAACGTATGAACATGAGATTCCAAAAGGTCACTATTTTGTTAGCGTAAAAATATCTGACAATACAATTTCTGATGATGTAACATCAGGAATATTCAATGTTGAAAACTGCCTTTCTGCAATGGATTACGCTCAAAAAAGTGTGTTACTTTATCCATTCAAACTTTATTCTCTGAAAGTTGATTCAACTCCAATAAAATATGTTGTTTGTGAATTCGGCTTTAAACATTTCGTGGTTCTAGCCAAGAATGGAATCAAACAAGTCGATAATCATACAGAAGATAGTTCATATTTATCCTCAACAAATGGTCAACAAGACGTTCTGGCTTTATTTATACCAATTGATTCGTATTCTTTTAAAGTGAAATATTCAGTAAATACAATTTCTGACCAGGCATTATCCTATTATATTGAAGAGGAGGAAATATCAATGATGTTAATATAGGGTGTCCAAAGGTGCGTTTAGCACAGCGCTCTATATGAGACTATTAAAGGAGATATATGCTGATTATAAATATATAATAAAAAATATGAATATATGTATATGATGAGTATGTTGTATTTTGGCACCATGCCGGGATATAAAATGAATTTTGAGACAAGAGGCGGTTTCGCGGGAAATTTTGGCGGGATTTTTTCGTTTTTTTAATGAATCATAAAGAAAACATCCTCGCTCTTGCAAAAAAATGCAAAGACTGTAAAAAAATCTACGAGACATTGGTAAAATGCTTCGGTATGGATGCTCCTAGCTATTCCACTGTAACGTATCATGTTAGGATGTATCACTTCATGAACAAAAAGGCGCCCATCATAAAAATTGACAAAAAATCGCCGGATCAAAGAAAAATCAAAGCAATTCTTCAAGCGCTAGATGAAGACCCAAGAGCATCACTCAGAAGGATAGAGGAGATGACAAATATACCACGTACAACAGTCAGTTATTATCTGCACAATTATTTGAACTACAAACTAGCGTATACACGTTGGGTTCCGCACAACCTTAATTCAGTTCAAAAAAAATCTAGAGTCCAATCTTCGAAAGAGCTCCTCTCTATATTGGGTGCGTATCAATCCAAGAAGTTTCGCTTTTTAGTAACAGGGGACGAGTCTTGGTTTCAATATGCAACAGAAGCCAAAATCATGTGGATCCCGAAGGATGAAAATCCGCAAACATTCCCGAAGAAAAAAATTGACACACCAATGATGATGTTGTCGGTTTTTTGGGGCGTGAATGGCATCATCGCAATTGATATTCTTCAAAAACCTAATACGATGAATGCTCAGTATCTAATTGACAATGTTCTTACTCAAATTATCAATTCTGATGAGTTTGAGAAATCCAAACAACAAAAACAAAAGTTTGCAATTCATTTTGATAATTCAAGAGTTCACAAAAGTCATAAGGTAATGAATTACTTGTTGGAAAACAATGTCAAAGTTGTTCCAAACCCAATTTATTCACCTGATATTGCACCCTCTGACTTTTATTTATTCGGCACGCTAAAAAAGAGAGCTGAAGGACGCGAATTCGCGAGTCCAGATGATCTTGAAAATTTTGTAAGAGAGCAATTTGAGCAATTTTCTCATGATGATTTAAAGCGTGTCTTTCAAGCCTGGATCGATCGCTGCGAACGCGTGATTGAATCCAATGGTGATTATATTTAAATAAACTTTATATATATGTAACTTGTTTATTTCTATTCGCAGTATTCAGGTTTGTGCTAAACACACCTTTGGACACCCTATATATTCTTATACTCCATTTACTGTCAATATGACATATTATGGAAATGCAACAACACCAATTTCTAGCTCATTTTCTTGCAAAAATAATAATAACGAATTATTATCTGGTGATTATCTTCATAACAATAATATATCTTCATGCAATAATACTAACTACCTTTTGTTATCATTGAACAAAGGGAAGATCGAATTTTCTAAGTTTTCGTTTGATAATCCATTGATTTCGAATGAAGGAATGCCTCAGTATGATGATGGAAGTTTAAAGGCAAGATGGGCCCATCATTGGATTCTTCTTATAAAAATGCCTCCAAAAACACCAGAAATAACCCCAGAAATGACACCACCTGATAATAAAGGTAATAACAATAATGAGGATGATCCAAACAATCAAAAGAATAACTCAGGGAATAAATTATCAGGCGGTGCAATTGCAGGAATTGTTATTGGAGTCATCGTTGTTATTGCTGTATGCATTGCCGCATTTATTATCATCCGCAAGCGCAAATCATCATCCACAAATACAGACGCTGGAGATGAAGTTTAAGTTTACTTTTTTTTGAGTAAATTTTAATTTTTATTTAATATATTTAAGATAATCTATGATTTTTAAATTATATTATCTTGGGGGTACTCTCATTTCATAAACAAAGTATCGCATTATTGCTAATTATTAAAATTAAAAAAGCAAATTAAATCTCTGATCGGAAAAGTTTCAAATGGATTTTATATATATTGGCCTTATCACTTTTTAAATAATGATTGTAATTTACATTTATTCACAATGAGAAGTTAATATTTCCAAAATTTGAATGGCAACATATTAGACATCTTGTGACAGTATATTATCAATAAATAGAGACATTATCGGGAATGTTCGTTTCAAAATCAGAAATGGCGGACCAAATTGAAAGAAAAACCGTGTCAAAATAGATCTGACCGATTTTGAATATTTATTAGATAGCTTGATCATACTACCAAAGATATTTTTAAAACAGTTACTATTCAGAATTGAATGCATCCTTCAAAAATCAAAATAAGTCAAGGATAGTATTCAATTTACTACGGCAGACATTTTTTGTTATATAATAGATATTACAGATATGATTAATGCCTCTTCATTTTTCTCCATAGATAAGGATTATTGGACACTCGTATGCTCAAAAGGAAGATTTTTTATAGAATTTGAAATTGGCGGAAAGGCAAGGGAAAAAGAATATATAGATAGTGAAAGACGATACGCATCCAAACTATACCATTTGGTGCCTCATATTTTTGCAAAATTGGAAAAAATTGAATTAGATCAAAATTTATTCATCAGATATGAGTATTTTCCGGGTGGAGATTTATATTCATTAATAAAGTCAGGTGAAACAAAGAACTTTTCATTGGTACAAAAGCTCAAGATTGGCTACGGTGTTGCTTTGTCAATAAAAGTGTTGGAAGATAATTCACTTTTTCATCCATCCCTAACTGATAAATATATATTTATAGACGAAAACACTGAACCACATATTGTCAGCTATACATTCATGCCAGAAGGAAAGCACCATTCAATAAGGGATAATATAATCGAATTAGGAAATATCTTAGAAAAGCTAGGAAATGATAAAAATGACAAAGTAACTTCATTATCATACTTGTGTAAGTATTCAAATATCTCAATTGATATCATTATTAGCAAGATTATAATGATTGCGAATGAGTTAAATGAAACAGAAAATGAAATTTTCAATAAATACGTAAACACTGCAGATACTAATTCCAATATAAAACCACATAATTGCATGACAGATTTGTTAAAGGCATATAAAAATGGAATCTCACATGCAAATTCTATTATTGAACAAATGATAGACATGGAATACATTACTTCAAACAAAAAAGATTTAATACAAAATATTTAAACCTTTCACAGGCAGATATTTGCTTTTGTTTAACGAAAATATATGAATTAAATACAGAAACTATAAATGCACACAATTCTATAGGAGATTTCATATTAAAAAGGCCACTTGGTTTATATCAAACAGCCAAAGCTCCCAGTAACTTGCGATAGAAAAAAAGATGCTCATTAATCCTTAAATAAGTTGTTTATTTATTTGAACGAATGTCACATATATGTCATTAACTAAAAATTATTAATAAATTTTTTTTCAAGTATCTTCGATTTTCATTGAAACAAAGAGAATCTCTGTCTTCCCAAAAAAGATCGTAGTCCAAATTCAAGATTTCTTGATCTTAAAATTTGAATTATTTCATTGTTTCCATGGCAGAGATCAGCTGCTTTAGAACCATAAGTTGTCTCCAACTCTGGATCAATTAAATTCACTAGATATTGACATGCTTCAGGGTTTTCACATTGAGAAAAGAAATGAAGGATATTGGTATTATCGTATTTCACCACTTTATAATCGTCTCCATTTTCAATAAGTAATTTAACAAGTTTCCAATCATTTTTATAAGAAGAATCCAATATTATGTTATGATCATTTTGATTCCTTACGCTACAATAACCATTAGATAATACATATTTAATTGTTTGTACATCTCCTTCAAGTGCAGCCTTATGAAGTAGTTGTCTAATACTTTCAAAATCATTTTCTGTTTTGGGAATGTTTGAAAGCTTTTCTATGTTTTCATTTGGAGTAAATGATGGATTCAACCAAAGATCTATTACAAATTCTTTCGAAATTGAATCATTGCTCTTCAGTTCATTGCAAAATCTTTCTCTTGACTCCTTTGAAAGCTTTCTGTGATCAATAAATGTGAAAAATTTTACATATTTATTAGATTTTGCAACCAAGCCAAGAATGACTTCTAAAAGTATGTCTTGATTGAAACTCTGTGATTATGAGAATACTTCTTCAATGAGGTCATTTCCAAGTGTGTCAAAATATTTGATTAAATTTTCTACTTTTCCTTGAAATTCATTAAATCTATTGATGAAAAAGGATTTGAGTTTTTCAGTGTTATGTGTTCTAAGAGCATAATCATAATAAATGTCGATGTTTTCAAATGAAATGCAATTTTCGTTTAAATAACTTGAGAAAGGAGCAATTAGTTCATTATTTTGGAATTCTAATCCTATGAAATATAAATCTTTGATTGTATTTAGAAATTCCATTTTTCAGAAAACCTTGAAATAGGTTCATTGTGTTTTCATCATCGATTTGTATATTGCATGAGTATGAAACTGATGTTGAATCTGCAAGCAAAATCGAGTTTATTTTTGGACTGAATATTCTTGCAACAATTGGAGATGTTTCAACTTGATGATTATTGATATAAATCGTGAAAACATCACTAGTCGGAATAAGTGATGCATTTCTTATATATGAGATGTCTATATTAACATCAATCATTTTAAAAAAATGAAGTGAAAAAAAAAGACAAAATCCACCAAAAATTTCATATTTGTTTCCCAACAAAATGATCAACAGAATTTTGTTAAACTATTATGCATTAAGGAGTACCAAGTGTATCACATAGTTGTTGGCAAGCTTAAGATTGGAAATCAAGTTTTACCGTTGCATTTTTTTTTGAAAAAAAGCCGAAATCGATTTCCAGCAAATTTTTGCTAAACTGAAAATTTGTCCTGATCAATATGAAAATGACGAAGAAATTCATGTAACTTACAAATTTTACTGCTCAATTTTCAATTCAATTTCAAAATTTGAATGCATCCTTTATCAACATTTATCGCTCTAATTCATGATGAAAACTTTTCTTTCTCAAAAAATAGTTCGTAAATACACTACAGATCAACGACATTTTATAAATGTTGATGTATGCCAAGCTTTCTCATAAGGATTTTTAACCCTGACGATCGCCGGGATAATAAAAGTGTCAATATTTTGTTTAGATACGGCATTCAAACAAGAATATAATTTCATCATTAACTCATATTCCTGGTCCAATATTCGGCAATGATAACGATTATAATTTTTAATGTAAAAAAAATTTGTGATAAAATTTTCCAAATTTTCAAAACTTTACATTTGACGATCATCAAAAATGCCATCGCCGAAAACCATAGTTATTGTAGGTGGAGGTCCACGAGGCGTTTCCGTTCTCGAACGCCTTGTTGCTATTCTTAATTCAAGACGTAATGTTGAAGAATTAACCATCAAATTGATTGATAGGATCCAGCCTGGAGCAGGAGCTATTTGGGAGACGTCACAAACAAGAGTATTATGTATGAACACCCTTGCCGATGCAGTTACTCTCTTTACTGAACCAGGATCTACAATTTCAGCTCCAATTGAGCCAGGACCAACACTTTATCAATGGATCAAAGCAACATTGTATAAATCATATAATGATGATCAAAATATTCTTACCAGTTTTGCTGAGGAACTTCATGAATTGCGTCCAGAATCACATCCAAGCAGAGCTTTGTACGGTGAATATATTAATTGGTTTTACAACAAAGTAAAGGCAAAAATCCCATCATTTGTACATTTTGAAGAAATCAAAGCAATTGTTCAAAAAATTGAGAGAAAAGAAGAATATGATGTACTTTATCTTAACAATGGAACAACAATCAACTCAGATGCAACTGTTATTGCTAGCGGATGGGAACGCCCAAGCTACGATGAAGAAGAAACAAAATTATTCAATGAAATTTCAGCCTATAACTCGAATAAACCAGAGAATGAGCACTTACATTGGATAGAGCCTGATAATCCGATCGAACAAAACGCTGAAATCATACCAAAAGGCGAATTTGTCATCACAAGAGGCCTTGGTATGGGATTCTTCGATTTTGTCAGCTTAGTTACAATTGGAAGAGGTGGCCAATTCATTGGAGACCAGATTTCCCTTGATTTAGAATACAAACCATCTGGCAATGAACCAAAAATCTTTGTTGCATCAGGAAGAGGCTATCCATATCTTCCAAAGTCTCTTTATGACTCATTACCACCCGATTCACCACTTACAAGGCTCAAAAAAGTCATCAGTGAGATCAATAAAAATTATCCAATTGAAAATGACGGATGGTCGAAAGAATTAGTTGATTTTACGACACAAGTTTTCCCAGCAATCATCAGAGATGCATATGATGCCTTCTATACAACATTGTGGACATTTCATCCAGAAAAAGTTCACAAACCAATAGAAGAAATCAGGCAACTCATTGATAACTTAGATCCTCTTAAGTTATATGAGAAAGTTGCTGACGAATTATTAGTTGTTGCCGATGAACATCCAGATTTGGAAAGATATAATTTGAAGAATTTGTCTTCCATTGAAGAATTGACACAAAATGTGAATGATCTCATAGAAAAAGACCTTTTGGATAGTCATCTCGCGTACACAAGTCCTCAGAAAGCATTCCTTTGGTCTATTTCATGCTGCAGAAAGCCAGCGAGTATTTTAGGAGCAGGAAGATACACGCAAGAATCAAGGAAAGGAATTTATGGAAGATTGATGAGATTCGGACAAATGGTTGGCTCTGGACCTCCAGCATTTAGAACTGCACAGTTAAGAGCATTGATAAAGAAAGGTATTGTTAAATTCATTGGTGGAAATCCAAAATTAGAAATCAATGAAAAAGGATTTGTTGTTTCAAGTCAAAACTCAAACAACGAACAAATAACTGCCAAATATTTAGTTGATGCTTGGATGCATAGAACAGATGCAACAAGGCCAAGAGAAGGACTTACAAAGTCCCTCTTGGAAACAGGAATTGCTCGGCTTTATTCACTCAGAAACACAAAAGGAGAAAATGTTCCGACTCCATGTCTCGAAATCGATCCTATGACAAGAAGACTTGTTAACAATGACGGAAAATCGATCAAAGAGTTCACTTGATTGGAATTCCAACATGGTCTCAAATGCCTGACACAACAATCAGTCCAATGCCAGGAACTGACTCATTGATGCTCCAGGAAACTGATAAAGCTGCTGTTAGCGCTGCTAAAATTGTTGGTGCTTGGTAAGAAAAAAAATTATAAACTATCTTTTTATCTGATTTTACTTCTTCTTTTAAATAAACACGTAATGGCTTTACCTAAGATGTTAATGGAACAAACTTAATTTATTTGCATTCGGGTGTTATCAATAAAAGGAAATTTTTATGGCATCAGTGATTTTAGATTGAGATATTTTAGTAACAATTTTTTTTTATCTCACATTATTCAAGATGATTTATAATAGTGTGGATTAGGTACGCATTCTGATATTCCGGGAGTCTAAATTCATATGATCAAATGAATATAACTTGGGTGAGATTTCATGCTGCCATAACACGTGATTAGGATTGTTAGATTCCCGACGATATGTGTCTTGGAAGATTTGCCTGGTGTCATCATAGTGTCTTTAAATCAAAAATTTTATTTTGGAGTTAGTTTTATTGATTTTCAATAAAAACATTTCTAAAACAAGAAATAAAACGATAAAATATTTATATTATATAACTTAATATTAAAATAAATATCATTTTATTTTTTCATTGGTGTCGTCAACCATAATACATATTAAAAATTCAATGTGTCTTGCGGTTTCAAAAGACACCTCAAATTTAACGATAGCACAGACAGTAATTGAATTTTACCCATTGTATTTAGTTTTTACCCTTTTTATTTTTAAGAATTAATGACTGAAACAGCCGTTTTGCTATGACCTCAATCACTTTTATTTATTATTTGAATACTATTTAATTTATTTTTGAATAGGCCAATTATATTGAGAAGCTCAATTTGAGACCACTTAATACATGAAATATCATAAATATTGAAATATTTAAAAGTGTATTTCAATATTGAAATTATAAAAATTTATAATATTGAAATTGAGACAAATTAATATATCAATGTTTTTTTGAAATAACTCTCAAATATTATTTTTTTATTTATTTAATGATGAATAAATATGATTGCTTTAGTCAATCATAAAAACTAATTTAAGTTTAAAATAATGAAAGGATAATTCGATCGTTTTTTAAAATACAATTATTTTTGATGATTTGCAAGAATCTTTGAAAACAATATAATATAGGTTCTATTTTTGTAAAATTTATCCAAATCATGTATTACCTAAATTAAGATTAAATCGATGAAAGAACCAAAAAGTGTGTATTGTGTTTTGTTGTTGCGTGTTGGATGCGGGATCCTGTTATTTCCGAAATCGACAAAAAATTTGGCTATTGAATTTCCGAAATCGAAATTATATTAATGTTTTTAATATTCTTATATCAAAAGGATTAAAGTTCATTAAGAGAAAAACAATTCTTCTTCTTCAATCTATTGGCGCATTTATTTCTACACGCCAATAAGGAAGGGAAAATTATAAGACACCATGGTGTCTTCAAAACGCTAATTTTTGATATTTTTAACAACCCTACACGTGATCACACTTTTGAAAATTTTATAAGATATTTCAAATATTTTGGGGTAAATACACCGGCAACCCCTGGAAAATAATTTTTTGAGATAAAATTATGTGAAAACTAAATGTTTGTTACTAATCATCTTTAAGAGTTTTCACAAGCATGTAAATACTGTCCAATTCAGATATATTCATATAGAATATAAATTCATTTTCTTTATCTGACCAAAAATCATCAATTTCATTACATAACTAATATTTATTACTGTAATATAATAACAAACATATTAAAATAATATTGAAAATAATTAGCAATTGCAATTACTCTTTTTTCTTTGATTTAGTGTAAGACTTATCTGGTCAAATTGATCTCTTTGATGACTGCTGCATAAATCAACCATTGCTAAGAAAGTTTCATCAATATTACTGCCATTAACTGCTGAAGTAATAAGAGATTTAGAAATTTCATGTTCTTGAGCAAATTTTTCGGCAGCTAATAAAATTTCCTTGTCATATACTAAATCAGACTTATTTCCTATTAATAATGCCGGAACTTGCTGAATTCCATTCTTTTGAGCAAGTGATTTGAATTCTCCATACCAAAATTCTAAGCTTTCTAGACTTTTATGATTTGTAAGATCATAAACAAGGATACAACCATCAGATCCTCTATAATAATTCGGCGCTACGGACCTATATCTCTCCGAACCAGATGTATCCCAAATGTTTAATATGTATTTTGTATTGTTATGCGTTAGTTTTTTGGATAAAAACGAAAATCCTAAAGTTGCTGAATATGAGTTATCAAATGTTCCTTCTACAAAACGATTAATAACACTTGTTTTACCTACAAAATACTCTCCTAACACAGTGATTTTTAACTGTGTTGAAGAGTTATCTGAATCAAGTGCCATTTTTTTAAAAAAGTGACATTTGATTGATTTATAAACATTCGTATTTTTACCAACGAACCGACTTTATGGGTCATCGCCATGCAAATTTTTATTCTTTCATTGAACTGCGGTTGTAGGATAGTTTCTTCAACTTTAATCTCATTCAAACCAAGGGGATTAAATAAGTTTGAAGAGGTTTAAATTGGGTTTTGAGGGGGGTTGTAAATTATATCGTACTCATTTGTGAGAATTGGAGGTTTTTACATTAAAATATTTTTGCCATTCTGTCAAAAATAAAGTAGCTGATAACCAAAATGGCTCAAAGAGATTTTATCCTTTTCGTGTCGATTCTAAAATTTATCATTAGATCGGCACCTGAACCCATCAGCAATTTTTGTACCCGAAAAATTTGGAAACGCTAATTGAAATTAGTTGGAACCAACTTCTCTGATAAACCTAGAATTGAAAAACATTCATACACAGAAAATGAGACGATTTCATCAACTTTTCTCTCATTCATACCAAGCATGAACAAAAACACAAACAGTAAAAATAATAACTTAATGTTAATTCGAAAAACAGTTATTATATCTCTTTTATCTTATTAATAAGACAGATATAACTAGTTTTATTCTTATTTATTTATATATGGCGAATATCAAAATACTATTGAAAGTTTTGCATTATGTTGTTAGAGAATTGGATATTCTATATTTTGAATATTTTCGTAGTATCAGTATAAAGAATATAAAAAGTAGTGATCAATTATTAATTTTATTCAAAATTAAACTTCTGCGCCAACAGATTTATCATCAGCCTTTTTGCGAAATACAAATATGTATACACAAACGCCAATAACAACAGCGACAATAACAACTGCAACGACAATTCCAACTATGAGGCCAACTTTAGATCCTTTTGATCCGGAGCCACCACTACTTCCGGATGGTCCTTTCTCCGAGCCACTACCTCCATGTCCATCTCCAGATTCATCACTTCCGGATGAAGGGGCTGTAACAGTAACAAACATGCCAGTATTGTTTGTTGTGATATCTGTTTCATTACACATATTGTATTTGGATGGCTTATCCTTGCTTTTCGAAATATATTGATTACTTCCTTTATAAGATATTTGATTATTTGAAAAAGAATTCGATAGAAAAGTATAATTTTGTTTGGGTATTCCTGTGTAAGCATATATAATTGAGTATTGATAATTGTAATTATCCGTGATATAAGGTTGTTGTAGTGGATATGTGATATTTGATGCATCAGTAACAGTAACTTGTGATGATTCTAACTCCACCAAAATCGGACCTTTAACTGTCAGGTTTGTATTGTTACCTTTAATCACAAATTTGCAGACTTTTGTATCTGAGATAGTGAGGCCACTAATATTGGATTTCTGAATTTCATATACACCATATTCTTCTTTGCAGCTGATTGTTGTTCCATTGTTTACGTTATTTAGGACACTAGAGTGGGTATGGTGCATCATATTAGTAAATTGTGTAGATAGGCTTTTGGCTAAACCTAAGATAGGAAGTAAAGGTATCATTTTGAAATAATGAAGTGAATGATTCAAATTTGTTTCTACTTCAATTCGATTATAATTTCTGAACACTCTTCAAGAAATTCTTAATTTCATTCAATAGTATTTCATATTGTCGAAGTCCATATTTATATATGATTAAGATCACCAATGGGACAAATCCATTTCAAATTCAAATTCGAAAATGTTTCTAACAGAAATATTAATTCTTGTACTAATGGTAGATATAACTTCAATGCTAGGATTGTTAAAAATGCAAAAAATCAAAAAATATTAGTCAAATTAATTTGAACATTTAAAACGTTTTTCTTTGACACAAGTCTAAATTCATGATTCAATCTGTACTATGAAAAAATTGTATCTTGAAATTATAATTAGAATTCAATGTGTTTTTGTGAATTAAATACTTATTGAATCGAGATCTTTTCTTAATTCAATGATAATTTTATAATTAATTATAAATACAATGAAACATATTCGAAATTGAAAAGAATGACTTTTTCTGTTCTTTCAATCATTCAATTTGAATTTTGCAATATTGGATTTCTCATTAAATACCTATTAAATACAACAAGCAATTTAACTTACATTCAAATTTATTTGTGTTTTATTCAATCTTCTCAAAACTTATAATTTTCGGCTATACCATGTTTATATGCTATATAATATAATAAACCTATAATAGTATCATTCTTTCAATTATTTGAAGAGAAAACCGAAAAAATCTATTTTCGGTCTATAACAAATTAATTATAATACCCATCAATTCAAATTTTTTGGGTCCCTTTTTCAACGAAATCATAATGCCCAAAGCTCAGAAAAGGTTTGGAGTATATTTCTAATATATATAATTATTACTCACATTTAATATATATAATTATTACTCACATTTAATATATATAATTATTCCTCACAATTTTTGAGTGAATATTCAATTAGTGTAGGGTTGTTAAAAATATCAAAAATTAGCGTTTTGAAGACACCATGGTGTCTTATAATTTTCCCTTCCTTATTGGCGTGTAGAAATAAATGCGCCAATAGATTGAAGAAGAAGAATTGTTTTTCTCTTAATGAACTTTAATCCTTTTGATATAAGAATATTAAAAACATTAATATAATTTCGATTTCGGAAATTAAATTTCCAAATTTTTTGTCGATTTCGGAAATAACAGGATCCCGCATCCAACACGCAACAACAAAACACAAAACACACTTTTTGGTTCTTTCATCGTTTTAATTGTAATTTATGTAATACATGATTTGGATAAATTTTACAAAAATAGAACCTATATTATATTCTTTTCAAAGATTCTTGCAAATCATCAAAAATAATTGTATGTTAAAAAAAGATCAAATTATCCTTTCATTATTTTAAACTTAAATTCGTTTTTATGATTGACTAAAGCAATCATATTTATTCATCATTAAATAAACAAAAAAATAATATTTGAGAGTTATTTCAAAAAAAAAACACATTGAATTTATTAATTTGTCTCAATTTCAGTATTATAAATTTTTATAATTTCAATATTTTGAAATACACTTTTTAATATTTCAATATTTATGATATTTCAATGTATTAAGTGGTCTCAAATTGAGCTTCTCAAATATAAGTTGGCCTATTCAAATAATAAAATTAAATAATATTTAAAATAATAAATAAAAGTGATTGAGGCCATAGCAAAACGGCTGTTTCAGTCATTAATTCTTAAAAATAAAAAGGGTAAAAACTAAATAAAATGGGTAAAATTCAATAGTGTCTGTGCTATCGTTCAATTTGAAGGTGTCTTTTGGAACCGCAAGACACATTGAATTTTTAAATAGTGTATTATGGTTTGACAGACACCAATGAAAAAAATAAAATGATATTTATTTTAAATATATAAGATCCTTATATAAAATATAAATATTTTATCGTTTTATTTTCTTATTTTAGAAATGTTTTTTATTGAAAAATCAATAAAACTAACTCCAAAATAAAATTTTTGATTTAAAGACACTATGATGACACCAGGCAAATCTTCCAAGACACCTATCGTCGGGAATCTAACAACCCTAAATTAGTGCGTTTCACCGAATTTTTTTAAAATATGATCTACATTGATGTACAAACTATTATCCATATTTTTACTTGTTCTATTATTTAAAAAAATTAGGGCTGTACAAGATTTAAAAAAACATTGCCGGGTTACCGTAGAGGCCTAAAAAAATCGCGCCTCGGCGGCAAGCCGCCTCGGCATTAAGAATGCGCATCTAAATTTTTATATGTCCTTCTTTCTTTTATTTTTCCCTTCCCTTCCTTTTCTTTTTCTTTTTTTCCCTCCTCTTGCTCTCATTTACCTTTTTTTTCCTTTTCTCATCATTTTTCAAAATTTAAAATTTTTATCAAAAATCATGCCTATAAAAGCAGATTATGGAACCTTTTAATGCCTCTTAATCAATATTATACAGCATAAAGCATATTAAATGAAAGTAATTACGTATAAATTTATTTTATTATCTTATTTATTAATTCTTTAGCATGTATTGTTTAATATTAACTTTTCTGTACATTAAATATGATATCTCCAAAGTATGAATGCCTTGTAACGAAACGAAAACTTAATTTTATGTTGAATATTTGTCACAAACATTAGATTATTAAAATATATGTTGGATATCCCTTAGTATGAGACTTCATGACTCTTGTTGTCTAACGTGAGCTTTGGATTGCAAGCTTGCTACAGCACATAAGTATTCTGTGGTTAAAAAAACCACATGAGCTTTAAAAACTATAAAACCAAAAATAATTGTTATAATTTAAATGAAGAAGTAATTTAAAACGATTTTATTTATGATCAAATTTTATATATTTTTTGGATCAAATCCATTTTAATAGAATTTATATACTATTCATCTATTAGTAAACACTACCGTATATTATTTTTTAAGCTATCTTATTTTTTGAAATTTTATTCAAATCTTTGGTCGCAAGAAGAATTGCATGATAAATAAAAACATTTAATCAAAGTCAATTTTATTTTTCATATTCAAATGGACTGAGTGTTAACATTTAACATTTTTTGCTAATTGTCGTCAAAAATTAGGCGTAAAGCAAAAATTGATATTTCATATGGTTTTATGATAGATAAGCATTATATTCCCACTCATTATATTCGTCAATTTTGAGGTTTATCCTTCGCTTTTAAGATCATTGAATTTGATTTTTATATAAAATAGTTATATATTAGAAAATAATATGAGTTTATATGATATTATTTTTCAGAAGATTTCATTCTATATGCCTATGAAAAGTACTCTCAAAACTAACTTTTTCCTAATTATAATTAAATCTAGAATATTGTATTATGCTTAGTATTATTTCATTTTTCTCATTCAATTTAGAATTTACAAATGTCAAAAAATTGAGAGCTGTCACTTTTGATGAATTTCTGTTTATTACAGCATTGTTATTAATAATGAAAAATAAAGCTTATTTCAATGAAAATTGTTCTGCAAATTTATTTCACTTTTGACCTCACTTTTTCCGTAATTCAATTTTTTTACTTTTAATATTTTAGATCTTCATAATATCATTTGAAAAATTAACCATATAAAAAATCAAGTTATCAATTCACTTTTTCCGTAATTCAAAAATCAAAAAATAAATAATATATCTTTTTATCAAATATTATTATTATATTCTATGAAAAATGAGGTCCGGAAATTTTGCGGATTCCCGTAACTCAATTTTACGGAAAAAGTGCAGTAAACTATTCAAAATACGGAAAAATTGGTGTAAACTAATGATTTTACGGTAAAATCACGGAAAGTCCCGGAAGAATATATGTGCCTATATGAAATTATACAAAAATGAATCAAACGCATTTTAAAAGATTGTTCTTGTATTATAAATGCTATTCGCAGATTTATTAGTTGAAGAAAATTACCAAATTTTTGCCGATTTACAAAAAATGATTTACAAAGCATATTTTTATAAGGCTTTAAAAATCTTTAAAATGTGACCGGTGACGGAAATCCATGGTAACCAACCGCGGTTCCCGTTTGGAATGCCATAAAAAAAATCGTTTTTTGAATAGTTACTTTTTCTTAGCGTAAGTCAAGAACTATAAAATATGAAAAAGATTTCGAATTTTCATATATTTAGTTCGCAATAATACTAATACTATGAAGTATAGATCCGTATTTTTCCCAAGTGAGCGGGGTATCTCCAATCCCAGCCCTATCGTCCTCCCAGTGTCAGTTTTCAATATAAAATCCAAATTTTTTAAAAAAATAAAAATTTCGAGAAATTTTTCTAATTTTTTTCTTTGATTTCAATAATTCAAAATAAATTTGGGAGTAAAAAGACACTATTTAATGAAATTCATATGAGTGAATGTGGATAAATACTCTCAAAACATACAATTTATCTATTTTTCTTTATATTATCAACTAATTAGTGATAATTTTTTTTGAATCAGATTTTTTTTCATTAAAAACATAATATATAACACAACAATGATGCACACATACGTATCTACACATCAAAATATAAAGCTTGTTTTGGTCTGGGCATCCCAACCCAAAATTCTTAAAAAATTGAATAAAATTGAATACTTGGGGCTGGGATACCCATCCCAAAACCGAATTGAATTTTTTGAATTAAAGAATATATTTATGTATTTATAATATACATGTGATGTCTATAAAAAATACTAAATTCTAAAAAAAATTCAATTTATTCAAAACGTATACTAAGTGATCACTTCATTAGTAGGATCAGCAATCCTACTAAATGGTGAGAACGCCACTAACTAAAAAGGGAGTCCTTGGAGCTCTTGATCTCTTGTCAGTAGAGTTCATAATGAGGCATGGCATATACTGATTAGAGATCAGAGCAATCCTACCTTACCTTCAGGAGCTACAAAGCTCCTAATCGCTACGAGAGGGAGCCTTGGAGCTCC